TAATCTAATCTAATCTAATCTAATCTAATCTAATCTAATCTAATCTAATCTAATCTAATCTAATCTAATCTAATCTAATCTAATCTAATCTAATCTATTTGTAATATCTCATGCTTGTTGTTGAATAAAAATATGAAAAAAATATTAAATAAGATCTATCTACCTTGCTACCTATCTAGCTATCTACATATCTACCTTCAGGGGTGGATTAGAAAGGGGCTGGGCCCACGTGCCCCATTCTGAGCTCCTGGAGGGGGGGGGGAGGGGTTCATCCCCCCCCTTAAGGAAATTTATGATATGTGTGGGATGTGTGACATTTTTTAAATAAAATGTCTATATATAGATAAGCTAAAATGTATGTTCTTCTCACAAATGTTAAAACTTTAGATATTTACATACTGATCTCTAAATGTTTAAAACACTATCCTAACATAGCAACGAAACATACAGTTTGTTTTCTACCATGCATTTCAACATATTTTATCTTTACAAACCCCAGACGTCTATATCTTTGTAACCTACTTTCTACCTACAGCCAAGCGCAATTAACTAGGCCGTGCGCCAGACCAATCCTTTACCAGCTTTTTACATACAATTCTGAACCAACCAATGAAACCATGTACGTCAAGGAGTTTTGCTATCTATAGAAATTTTATTCTTTATATATGTGTGCGCAAATGCAATCATTGTGATTATTTTAGTATAAAAACTATGCATGTTATATGTATTATCACTCAATAATGGCACTTCATACTGTATTCTCTATTCTCTATCTTTGTGTTTTTTTATATAGTTCTGTTTATAGAGTCTATAATCAAAGAGTTTCTGGCTTTTTGAGTGTTGAACAAAAGAATGTTAAAGTACCGTAAATCAAATCTCTAGAAACGGTTCCTAAAGATCTTAGTGTAAATAATAAGAGTTTGACGTTCAGTTATACTCTTCGCATTGTTTTAAATTTTGCGTGGCTGTTGTCGTTTATCAGACAATCTTATGGAATAGTTTAAGTTTAAGTATATAGTCAAGGATAGATACTCTTATAGTTGGACATTTTTACTTTAACATTCAGATTTACATCACTCTAAAAGTTAGACACTTTTTGATTATGTAAAATATATTAAAGCTTCATTTCTAGATAAAAATCAATCGATATTAAAAACCTAGATTTGTTGCAGATGAAAGACACGACGAAAGTAGAACTAATAAATGACCTGAAATACACCTTAACATTGTTTTCTCATCTTATTATTCATACTGATTGCCTGTAAAATTACTAGGTAGAAAGTGTGAGAACTGGAGTTTATAGATAGAAAGTAGGAAAACAGGAGTTAACAGATATAGAAAGTAGGACAACTGGAGTTTGCAGAGAAAAGGTAGGAGAACTAGAGTTTACAAATAGAAAGTGGGAGAACTGGAGTTAACAAATAGAAAGTAGGAGAACTAGAGTTTACAGATAGAAAGTAGGAGAACTAGAGTTTACGAATAGAAAGTAGGAGAACTGGAGTTAAAAAATAGAAAGTAGGAGAACTAGAGTTTACAGATCGAAAGTAGGAGAACTAGAGTTTACGAATAGAAAGTAGGAGAACTGGAGTTAACAAATAGAAAGCAGGAGAACTAGAGTTTACAGATAGAAAGTAGGAGAATTAGAGTTTACGAATAGAAAGTAGGAGAACTGGAGTTAACAAATAGAATGTAGGAGAACTGGAGTTAACAAATAGAAAGCAGGAGAACTGGAGTTTACAGATAGGTAGTATGAGAACTGGAGTTTACAGAGAGAAAGTTAGAGAACTGGAGTTTACAGAGAAAAAGTAGGAGAACTAAAGCTTACAGATAGAAAGTAGGAGAACTGGAGTTTACAGATAGAAAGTAAGAGAACTGGAGTTTACAGACAGAAAGTAGGAGAACTAAAGTTTACAGATAGAAAGAAGAAGAACTGGTCTTAACAGATAGAAAATAGGAGAACTAGAGTTTACAGTCAGAAGGTAGGAAAACAGGAGCTTACAAACGGAAATTTGGACAACTGGAGTTAACAGATAGAAAGAGGGAGATCCTAGAGTTTACAGTCAGAAGGTAGGAAAACAGGAGCTTACAAACGGAAATTAGAACAACTGGAGTTAACAGATAGATAGAGGGAGATCCTAGAGTTTCAGATAGAAAGTAAGAGAACTGGAGTTTATGTGCGCACATATGCCCCCACCTCCCTGAGATAATGGTTTAATCCGCCCCTGTCTACCTTGCTACTAATATCCAACTTTGTATGCAACGTAAAATTATGTCAATCTCAAAAAAAATAATGTAATGAATATTTTTATTACAATCAAATACCGACATCATTAATTTCTTGTAACTTTATTTGCTTCCTTCAATATCCAGAACATATCTAATGACCTGGTCATTCTTTTTGACCAGGGTAGCAAACACTTCATCAAGTTCAGAGGCTTTAACCATCTTGATCTTCGAGAAGATTTTGTTCTTAGCGCAGAAATCCATACACTCCTGAGTTTCTGGTATCCCACCAATCCCACCACCAGCAATTATCAGTCGTTTCATTATTAAAGGAATCTGACTGATATTATGCTTTTCAAATGCAAGACCCAGCTGGACAATAACACCATTTCTTCTCAGCAAAGGTAAATAATGTTCGATCTGGTGGTTGGCAGAGACTGTATTAAGGATAAGGTCCAAAGTGTTAGCTTCTGAGACCATTTGGGCATCATCAGATGAAACAATGAACATGTCTGCTCCAATTTCAAGAGCTACTGGCTTTTTAGCTGGAGTGGTTGATATAGCTGTTACTTGATTTCCCATTGCTTTAGCCAATTGAATGCCCATTTGTCCAAGACCACCAATCCCAATGACTCCCACAGTCATTCCTCCACCATTGGCCTTCCACTGACAAAGGGGAGAATACATGGTCAGGGCAGAACAGAAAACAGGTCCAGCTAATTCTAATGGATATTCATTGGGGATTCTGATCAGATAACGTTGGTTTACTGTTTGTGATCCACTGAACCCTCCATAGGTATATCCAGAGTTTGTCTTTATGTGCCCATGTTTAATTTTGGAGTCAGTTGTGATAGTCATTCCACCATGACAAGCTTGCTCAAAACCTTGATTGCAGCTTGAACACTTCATACAGCTGTCAGAGATACACCCTACACCAACTTTATCCCCAAGCTTAAACTTAGTTACATTTGACCCAACAGCAGTTACCACTCCTGCCAACTCATGTCCAGGGACTACTGGAAAGTTGGTAATTCCCATATCATCATTCGCTATGTGAACATCTGAATGACAGATACCACAGAACTTAAGATCAAAAGTTACATCATCCACTCCAGGCAAGTTTCTCTCAATCTGCATTAATCCAAACTTGGAGTCCTTAGACTTCTTTCCCCAGGCAATAGTCTCATACATGTCTGCCATATTGTTATATGTTACTCCGGTTGAAGATATAGAACAAACTGACAAGAAAAACTTTACAGCAGGGGTTTTATTGACTGAAAATTAAGTGAAAAATATATAAAAAACTTTTTTAAAAAAACTAAATTTAATTTAGAATTATTGATCTATTTGACTTAGTTGTTTTAACAAAATCTGAAATTATTTTAAATAAATGTATATATATCTCCCTCACTGAGCTGAAGATAAACAAGGAGGTTGTTGAGTACGTCTGTACTCTGTGTTCTGTGCAAGTTTAAATATTTACAATGATGACGTAATATAAACTCATATCTATTCATCCAAACTCATCCAAACAATACTTCTTATTTTTTATAAAAAAATTTCTAACTGTATAAAAAGTATCTATTCGTAGTATCAGATTCATAAATGAACACATACATCTTAAGAACCTAAATTCTTTTTTAACAAATAAAAAAACCTGACTGTGGCTTAAAATTATTCTTAGTAATAAAATCTGTAACCAATTTGATATAAATTGAAATTTACGGAAATCTGTCAAATTTAATGTCCTATTAATAAAGAATTACCAAAAACTGTTTTCCTTTATAATAATACTTGGTAATGATGTTCTTTTTTACACTCCCTTTTTGGGGCTGACCTATAAGCTACAAGAAAACACACACGGCCAACACACATAGTATGTATTGGTTTGTAAATATATATTTGAAATATAAAATGATGTGCTAAAGGGCCTGCAGACGTATTTTTAAGTATTTTAATTACGATAGTGTTCACTTCAATGAGACCAAAGCTTGAAAGCCGAACTATAATGGGTGTTAAGTCCCTTTGTCGAGATTAGATAAGATTCAAACAATAATTTAACAACTGTGTTACTGTTCCATCCTTTTCCCCCCCAGGTTGAAGCAATATTCTCTATCACCAAGTTTTACCAAGTTACAATTAATATTTAACTTACATAGTATTCCAATGGTGGTTTCTCCCTCATTCATAGTTTTTATGATAATTTCCATGCCCGGGAGCAACTAAAATATTAACATGATGGAATTATGTTAAACAACGATGCCAATATACTAAAAAGCAATTGTTTGACAAACTTTACGGGCTTAAACATTAATAAAAATTGCATGTCCCATTCACAACAGAGTTCTTCGTCATAGATCATGGATGAATGAAATATCCTTTTTTTACTAACTGAAAATTGATTAACTTCAAATGTGGGTTCTCGAGTAAGTTGCAGAATTAAGTTGTTATGACTAGGAAAGATCAGAGTTCATGACTTGCAGGATAGAAAAAATACCTTTTCTTCCTCATTAGTGCTCAGATATCCTTGTGAATAGGACATGCCACACTTCAAATGCAGGGTCAAAAGAAATTGTGTTAATCCACTTAAAATGTTGTCTTGAATGAAAGAGTTATTTATGTTAATAATAAGAACTTAATAGGACAGATTTCTTTCGAAAATATATATAACCATTTAAAATAAGAATTTTCATTTCATACTAACAACTTTTAGTCTCTGGGTAATTTTTACCTGGTTACAGTCTAGTTTAAACCTTTCAGCAATACCACGAATAAAAGAACTGTCGAAAGGCTCATCTTGTCCTAAACAACACACAATATATCAAATATATATATTTGTCTCAATCATAGAAAATAAAATATTTTAAAACAGACATAACAGTTTCACTGATCAGGTCCAATTTTTTGTGGTATCTCATAAGACCAAAACAAAATGTTATGGCCAATCCAATTCGAAAAAAATTGTGCCTCAAAATAATCAAATTTTTAAAATTTTTGGAATGCGGAAAAATGTTAACTTTTTTATGGTTATTATTTCAAAATGTATGTAAAAATCTGATCATCCATGAACCTTTCTCAGCTGTTTTAGTTAATGTCCTACTTACTTCAAAAACGGGTTGGAACTATGTCATATTTGATACCAATGATGCCATGCATAAATTCTTTAAAATCTCATTACCACCAATTGTGCTTGAAAATCTATTTAATCAGAATAAAATGTAAAATTGGCGAGCCTTGGACTGATTCGAATTTCAGATTTAATAATATCTAGAAGGATAAAATTACATTTCTTTAAAAGCATGTAAAAAATTATCAATATCTACATTCTACAGGGTGTCTTAGAAGGGTGATACGGGTTTTTAGAGCCTGTTATGCATTTAAAAGCTTCAAATTTGTTCTGGAAAAGAAAGTATTAAATACATCTTTTAATCTATTGATGTGGAAAAAAGATCACAACTAGATTAAAAATGAATGAAGTAACCTTCGATCATTGCCTCGTAGAATAGGGTTACACAAGCCTTGAAGGGAACACCTGATCCTCTACCTCCTAAACCAGGGACCAACTTTATTGAATTGGAGAGGTTTTTGAACTTCCTACCGCTGGTTCAAATACTAAAACACTGATTCAAATCCTTATGTTTATCTTTGAATTTATAATTAAGGATTTGAAGCAGCGTGATAGGGTAGTTCAGCGACCTCTATCCAGTTCATTAAATTTCGTCACAAACAAAGTAAATATCATTCATTCTCTTCCATGCCTTAATAGCTACCCTTTTTTTCTTCTTCTTTTTTTGTTGGGTTAGTGGCAAGTTTTCTAAGGCAAACATATTTTCCAAAAACTTAATATAAGAAAGAATTGACAGCAAAATGTGTTTAAGCCAGAAAGGAATTTAATTGATAACAAAAAGTAAACTTTACTCTTCAGTTGTTTGTTTTATGAACATCAACCAAAGAGCTAAAAAGTTGTGCTTGTATTAGGTCAATTATTTATCCCTACCTGTGTTTGTTTTCCACTTGTATACCCCTCCATCAGCAGTTAAAGGTATCATCTTCAACTTCTGATCAGACCAGCAGTCAGTCACATCAAAGTCATTCTTATAAACAAACAGGGTTCATAATAACAGTTTTTTAGCCCTATTGCTGGTAACATGCACAATCATGCTAATAAAAGATTAAGTTCAATAAAATATGTCCTATTGTCTGGCACAATTCTAGAAAATCAAGATCATTCTTCATTTCAAAACAGCAGTTTCAAATATTTACGTATCAAGAGAGAATGATGTCAAATGTAAAAGTTAATAAATAGTCAGTTAAATCCTCCTCAGTGTCCGAATAAAGTACTGAGTTATGTGTATCATGACTAATGTATTAAATGAAAGTTATTTAAAAACCTTTTCATTAAAGTTGAGATGTTGTAGGTTGCTTAGAGTCCTGCTGTAATAATCCCCTCTCTCCTCCTCCTCAGGATCATCTCCAACTAATATTATAATTTTTTGACTAAGATATTTTTAACAAAATTTATTTCACAAAGTTGTTTGTTTCCTTGGAGACTAATTTTATTACTTGGGATCTGGGTCCAGGGAGCAGGAAAAGTAAACATGAGATGGGAATAAATGAAAAGCGAAACATAATTTCACTGACTAAACTAATTTACTTCTCCCTAATTAATAATTAAATATCGTTAAATCTTAGTTTTATGTCGTTAATTTTTATAACTTGAAAAGATTCCAAACGTTTTTATCATTTCAGTAGCTATGGGGTGTGATTTATAATTTCAACATAAACATTTAAAATGCAAGTTTATTAAACGTGTTAAAAAAAGATTATTAGAATATTTAAAAGTAATTATGACAATAAGTGTCCGTCAGGCATTTGCCTGGGTTGAGTAATTACACCCTACTGAATGGCTTATGGCTTATGGTAAGCAAAAAGGGGGAGCTAAACCCCGTTTTCATAGTATTTTAACCTACAGGTCATGATACTTTGTCTGTAGTTTGATTGTTAATAATAAAAATGGTCCTTTCAACAATTTTAACTTCTATTATATATCCAGGATTTTAACTTTAATATCACTTTATCTAAAGTCTTTGGAAACGTTTTCCATAATTTGAATGTATGCATTGCATTGCATGTGGCCGGGTCATCCTAGTTCGTACTAAAATGTTGGTGTTCTAAGTTTTATAAAAAATATCAATTCAGCATTAACTCCAGTTCTTAATTCCGACAAAATACAGCCTACCACAGTCCATATCTGGCTGCAACACCACTGACTCTCCAGCATTCAGTACAGGGATCCCCTCACTCAACCTCACTCCCAAATCCAATCCACTCTTGATCCCTAAATCACAAAATTGATAAAAATATCTTTTTACTGGTAATCTGTTCACTATAATATCCACTCTCGATCCCTAAATCACAAAATTGATAAAAATATCTTTTTACTGGTAATCTGTTCACTATAATATCAAGACTATCTGGTGGACATTATTATTAATCTGTGCATGCATGCACAGAATACCGAGTCAATACCCGGAATCCGTCATTAGTTTTTCACAACCAGGAAAAAAATCTTGAACCCAAATACATGTATACTATTCGACTCCTATTAACAACTTAAGCTTTGAACTCAGAAAGTCGTCATTTTTGATAAGTCTTAAATTTTCGTGGATTTTCCTATTAAAAATTAGTGCATTTTCAAAACTAATCATTTTTCAGGGCACAACTTTTATTGTATGGGCTCTAACGGTCTTAATTTCTTTTATTAGATGCAAACAAACACACAGACAAGCAAAGTATATATATAGATTGAATTGAAAATATCTTGATATTTTGTAAAAACTAAACTTAACATGAATAATGCAATTGTCAGCTGAATTTAACAACTGTTCTTGTTTAACATCTTTAGAATTGCTGAGTTTAGCATTTAAATGAGCAGAGTAAGTTAAATTACGGTTAAATATTAACTCCTAACGTTGCAACATAACCTATATTGAAGATAATATAAGAAATTTTCATCGATATAATAATACTTAAAAGGAATTATTTTTCAATTTTAAATGCCCAAAATGCATCTTCTCAAATCAAAAATTTAAGCTAAAAGGGACTGTCAGTGTAGTTTCAAGTGACCCGCCATGCATATATGGCAATACCGATTACTATTGTGATTTTATTAAAACCCTTTACTTAACGTAGAAGTACCCTGGATTCAATACTATCAATTGTGATTTTTCTATATCAGTAACTTCACCATTGTAGGAAAACATAAATAAATTCTCACACATTTAAACCTAGAAAAACAACAATATTTTCCAAATTATTGATATAAAGAATTCAAGCGGTACCGTTGTGAATCTGACAATTGCACGGAGTGAAATTTGTGCGACTTTGGATTAGGCATTTTCTCCAAACAGCGATGTGGAAGAATGAACCGATCTAATTTTAATCACAACTTGAGAAGGTCAAGAAGAAAATTAATTCAAGCAATAAGATATTAAAATCTTCCTCAAGAAGAAAATTAATTCAAGCAATAAGATATTATAATCTTCCTCAAGAAAAGTAATACAGAACTTTACAAAAAGATACATTATAATATTTGGTTCTTGAATAGGAACTGCAATGGACTACAAAGGAGAGTAGCCTCAGGATTTCAGAGACTAATACAGTGGGATACATTATCATACATGGTCCTTGAATCGGGACTAAAGAGGGAGTAGTCTCAGAAAGACTACTCAGGACTTTATAAGAGTAAAAGAGAACTATAAAGAAAGATACATTATAATATATGGTCCTTGAATCGGGACTATAATGGACTACAAGGAGGAGTAGTCTTAGGAGCCTACTCAGGACTTCAGGGAGTAAAACAGAACTATACAGAGTGATGTTAAAATCCACTGTACCACATCATTTCGAATCGTTTATGGCTCTAAAATATGAGTATCGTAACTATTCAGAAAATTAAAAAAAATATGAATAATTATAAAAAAAATTGTATAAGCCTAATTTTAAAATGTGCATGCAGAAAATGCTAGGTTTTTCGAGTATTAAGTGCGTATTTCAGCTTTAAATCTTGGCGATAATCCAATCTAAAATGGGACGCTTTATATATAGCTTTAGATTGGGATTTCAATGGGCTACATAGGGAACATTTAGTAGACTGAAAACAGAATAACAGCATTTTTAAGGCCAGGGGGAAGGTTGCAACAATAAAAAATTTCGAGTTTCGAGCAAAAACTTGTTTTTACCCCCCCCCCCCCCCCCCAGGTAAAATCATGTATACGAGCCTGTAACTCATGCATCGATAATCTGCCAGTTCCCCGTTCTGGTAAAGCTAATTTGACGTAGTTATAAATCTGGTATCGTTACTTTGGTATGTAGTTCCTGGCTCCGACATCTTTGTACTGTTTAAAATTCCCGCGCTTACCTTTTGAAAAATCAACAACATCTAGCTCATCCATTTTCTCTGAAACCTTATTATCAGAAAATTTTTAACACATTCTGAACACATTTTTGAAGAATAGAATAAAATACAGATCGTCCTAAAACAATGAAAGTATATTAGAAATAACATTTTTAAGTCTTCATAGCAAACGTTATGTACGCAATGACCGTTTGTTTACTTTGCTACCTAGTCACAACCACAAACAACTCTAAATTCTCCATATTTCCAAGAATTAACATTTACATTAACTTAATCTTCCCAAAATTGGGTTGAAAGGAAAATGCGAAGTTGTATCTGTTACATAAATCGGAAACATTGCGTCTCAAAATAAATCTTAGCAAGTATAATAATTTTGACTTCAAAACACATATATTACAAATTAAATTAGGATGATTTCTTAATCTTCCAAAAAATATGGACAAATCTATCACATTGTTTTAAGTCTAAATTGTTTCACAATATTTTATTGGTGTCTGCAAACAAATCGATAATGTTTCCTTTGGGGGTTCACGAGACTAATATTTCGTACATTTTTGAAAATAGTTGTGAAAGTAAATTTAAACTTATTGTTACAGAAAATCAATCACATAAAACACTTTTGAGATTTGGTTTATCATACTGATCCACTGATTCGCCTTTTAAAAAGACTGTTTCTTGATGGTTTTAAGAACCTAGGCTGATTTGCAACTCCATCAATGTATCCTTGTAAACTGCCAATTATTCATCCAATCCATATTGAATGGTTCTGATGAAATTGGATTGATAATCCAGGTCTATTTTTATTTTGGATAAATGATATCATAGTGTCCAGGTCTATAGATCAGATTGATTGTAGGAGAAGACCCCTCTGGGAAATCATGATTCTGCACCTGGAAATTAATATTCATTTAATTCGAGTTTATTATTAAGTACGTACAATAAGTGGCACAATAGAATACGTACATAATAAATTTAATGCAGCTGTAATTACGTCACTGCACTAGTGACATTTCAATGTTAAGTTCCAGACAAAATATTCAATAATAATAATAAACTAAACTAAATTGTTTGAGTTTGCTATGCAACTTGTTGAGTTTTATGTGTTCTTTTTTTCTTTTTTTTATACTGTTTTATTTAGTGTCCTCTTCTATAAGTCTAAAAATCTAAAAATCTGACTGACGCCACTTATTGAACTTAATAATCTATTTGATCGAGAAATGAGTTAAATTCAAAAAAGGGATATATTCTTATAATGTGACCTTCTCCCCCTCTCTATCCAGATAGATGACCCGAACACTAACCCCTGTTGCCGCGGTCAATCCTTAAAAAAAACGTTTAATTAATCAGGGCGTAAGATTTACTATTCTAACCCCCCGCCCCCCCCTCATCTCATTCCAGTGACCCCTAAATTTAAGATTCACAAGTTCACAACAGTACCATTTAAAACTTATGGAAACAAAGATAAATTCTCTCTTCCTTATATAAAGGTTTAAAAAACACCGTTGTGAATCAGACATGCTAACTTTTTAATGTAGTGTCACTTGAAATTAGGTTGACAGTCCCTTTGAAGTTTTTACGGTTCTTTATTTATGAAAATTTTAGAAATCATTGAATGTGTTTACCTATTATATGAATGTGTTTACCTATTATATGAATGTGTTTACCTATTATATGAATATGATTACCTATTATATGAATATGATTACCTATTATATGAATATGATTACCTATTATATGAATATGATTACCTATTATATGAATATGATCAGACTCTTTAAACATTGGTTCTACCTCCGTAGCACAGAAATCCTTTAGTGGAATATCCCCCTAAACACACAAGTATGCATGAAACTATAAAAACCTATCAGTTCTTAGCAAATTAAAAAAAAACTAAAGAATTAGGTGTATTCAGCAACCTTTCACAAAGCCCATAGCTACGTACGTAAAGCTATCCAGCAGACACGTTTTGCCACTTTGAGCCACTAGATACATTTTTTGTTGTTCAGTTGATTTTAGGCCCTTTTTGTCTCACATGATGTTTTTTGTCCGTAGTATTTGAACTGTTCAAATAAAATAATTTCTCACTTCTAAAAGACATGTATTTTTTGGTTATTTCTCATCTTATAACGTTTAAAAAATGCATCATTTGGCACATGCTTGAAATAAAAAACGAATGAACTTTGTAAAATCTAAAACAACGTTCTTTACCTCTATGAAGTTCTGATAAAAATCTGCTTCTTTCTGCAACTGTTTTGAAACCAGCAGTCTGAAATTTAAAAAAAATATAACATTTTTAGCCAGGGGGTGGATTGACGGGTACGAGTGTGAATTAGCAACTATTAAATGAAACAATTTTGTTGAACTTATTATATATATATTATTTTGAAACACTTTTCTGAAAAACTGAAGAAAAAAATTGTTTGTCTGTTATCGAGTGTGGTTAATTAAAAGCATCAGCATTATGCAAAGAATATCAGGCATTTATAGGATTAAGTTTCTGTAATATGATAATCTTATGAGGAAAAAAATGTAATAATGGAATTCTTAAACGAGATGAAATAATCTTGATGTATTCTTTAACGAAGGCCGCAGAATTCCATTATTACATTTTTATCCTCATAAGATTATTATTATATCATATTTGTGAGGTTCCATGGGCAGATTCCCAAGAAATTATAGTTAAAAAATAATTTTGGTGAAATCCGTCTATTTTAAGTTAGAACAGTTCACATTATGAAAGGTTGCAAATTAGTTTTAAGCTCTTATTCTGACTATCACTGTTTTTTTATTTTTCTAATGTTAAAACGTTAAAAACCATTTTATAAGTAAAAATTGGTTCTTAATTTGAACGAAATGCATGTGGTGTTATTGTTTCCTCAATTTAGTTTGTTTGTTTTCCAATTTTGCTTGTTTTAAAAGTTAATAATAGATTTAGATACTGCATGTTGAATGTGCCCTGAACTTTTTTAGATGGGGCGAAGGTATTGTAGTGGGTTGTCTTAATCTACTGAACAAGAAATCATTTGCTGGATATTAGATCCTAAATCTTCCAAAAAGAAGAAATAAATCAGCTGATGAAGATCTTTGTCTTTTATTCATGATGCAAGATTTCCTGGTTTGTTTTCATTGCTATGGAGTATGGAGTGCTAAGACCCCACTAAAAGTTTCTGACACTAGTATTTCAATGATAAGTTTTTATAAATTAACTTTTTTTGGTTTTGATTGTGGTTTCACTTCATCATCTCGAGCTATGCGAGATATGAGATATGGTGACTGCTGACTCAGGCTGAGGTACTTTAAAGCTTTATAAAGTGAAAAAAACAATTAATTGAAATTGTGAAGACATGACAAACCTTTCCATTTTGACAAGCTATAATAGTACTATATGCAGAGATTTGCAAAATCTCACCAAACTTGGTTTGCACTGAAGAAAAACTAAAAACCAAATTGAATAAAGTAGGCAGTCGGGCAGTATGCCTTGAGACTCGGTAGTTTGATGGAAATGTCCAATGGAAGGTTAAAGTTTTTAGTACATGGTTTATTTTTTTTGAAAAGGTTAGAATTCCTGAATTAAGATATATCAATACTTCAAAAAACGAAAAAGGTAAGTGAGCATGAAAAGGTAAGCTTGAATGTTTTACTAAAGTAAAAAAGGTGAGTTTGCATGTTTTAATATTAACGAAAAAGGTAAGTGAGCATGTTATTTGAAATTTAAAAAGGTAAGTTTGCATGTATTAAAAAAAAGAAAAAGGTAAGTTTGCCCTGTGCATGTTGTCAGTACAAAATAATTATGTTAATATCAATATTGATCTATGTTGAAAAGATCAATATAAGGAGCGTGTAAGAATGAATATTCTTCAACTAGTGTAAGAATTTCCATTCTTTAATGCTCGGAGCGTGTAAGAATCCACATTCTTTCACGCTCTGGCCATGTAATAATTTCCATTCTTACACGGTCTGAGCGTTAAAGAATAAAAATTCTGCACCTACAGTGTAAGAATAAGCATTCTTAAACGCCAGGAAGCGAACAATATTAAAATTGTTCCTCCTGAACCGTGTAATAATGGAAATTCTTACACGATAATATGGAATAATATTATGGAACCGAACAGATATGATATAATAAAAATTCTACACCTACAGTGTAAGAATAAGCATTCTTAAACACTAGGACGGGAACAATATTAAAATTGTTCCTCCTGAACCGTGTAATAATGGGATAGGTTTAATATTATGGAACCGAACAGATATGATATAATAAATATTATTTAGAAGCAGACGACTAAAGATTATACTAATCCCACTATTTTCGCAACCTGATAGTTTACACCCGACATATTTAAAACTTAGGACTTATCGATCCTGCAGATTTCGTAGTTTGAAATACGTAAGATCTACGACACCAGCATTTAAAAGATTTAAAAAAATAGAGTTTGCAACAAGTGATCAATTTCTTTGTCATTTCCTAACATTATTATCGAAAAAGATAATACCTGAGAAAAACAACTAGATAGTTTGACTGACCCTCGTTGTTAAATATTTCTTCTAAACAAATATCTAAGTTTTCAAAAGTTATACAACTTATTTTTTATTTTTTGTTTAAAGTCATTTAAAAATTTTAAATGTATTGATTATAAAGATCTTTAAAACTTAGTCCAGCGAGACTATAAAATATTTCGATATTTTCTCAAGATCAAGCGTTGCTTTTATTTACCTAAATCCGACAGTGAAATTTTTTCTTTCCCTTTCAGACTTTCTGAAATAGAAATAAGATAATATAGCTTTATTTATCACAGGCCATGTGGCCTACTACTAAAGGACAAGAATCCGTTAGTTTTTTTTTTTAATGAATCAGTATATTTATTGGCAAAAATATTCGTGAATTTCCGTACATATTTTCCAAACAGAATGTCGTAGAATCCATACATTTGAGAAGAAAAAATATACATTCAGTACAAAATAAAATTCCAGTTCATTGAAGACTTTCTTATCAATTTATCGCGAATAATTTCAAATTAAAATATTTTATGAAACGTATCTTGGCTACTCAGTTACCCACCTAGTGTGACGATGAAATTCTCCCAGAAATCTTCAACAGTAAAACCTGGCATCCCTTAACCATTGCAAGTTCAACGCAAAATGTCAAAATGCAAAGGTTGCAACCCAATATCCCAAAATATAGACTCTCAATTTAGCAAAATCTTATTCTGTTTTATATTTAACTTAAAATTTGTTAAAAGTAAACTTTAAACAAATTATAAATTACCCTACAATACTTGCAATGGTCGTGCTTTAAACAAAACTTTATCTATCATCAATTTCGTCTTTAATTTTTTCTTTGGTTTAAATCTCAAATTAGCACATATAGCACAATTAATACCGAACTTAACAAAACGAAAAAGCTAAGTAAACGATCGTTGCGTTGTGAAACGTTCCTAACTCAACCATTTCGTCCTTACAGGGAGCAAGGACTGTCAACAGCTCATTCAATCTATCCTCGTCCTCCAGTAGGCACTAGAAAGATAATTTCATAGACCATTTTTTAATAAAATATGTGTATCACTTACTATCATTGTTGAAGAAAACGGGGGTTTTGGTTTTTAGAGTCAACACAAAAATCTGAGAAATTAAATGTTTGTTTTAATCGCAATATGCAATCTTATGATTTTGCTTCGTTCAGGCTTAGATCTTCCGTCAGTTGACATTGTCATTCTAAGCCCAAAAACCTTATGTATTAAATAGGGATCGAAGATGCCCATTTGACATAATAAAATCTATATATATAATAAAGTTTACCTCAAATAATCTAAACCCAAAAGCTCTAAAGAAGCAGTTTCCATCAGGTCTAGTTCGTCTGAAAATTACAAGAAAATTATACACAAACACACATCTATCCATTAAAATATTTGTTCAGGTTAGTGCAAAAGAAATGTTGTTATTTAGAAAGATAAAAAAATAGTGATTACTAATAGATGGCAACTTTTTGTATAGTGATTTTGTACCTAAGTTTTGAATAACTCTGAGATATCTGTTGAATCTTAGCTAAAAACTGTTGATCCTGCTGAAAATCCGCAACAAGAGTTGAGAAATCTTCTAAACCAGAAATGAGTCCGGATGATTTGGCAATTTCCGCGGCAATTTCTTCCTGCTGTTTTAATATCAACTCATCCTGCACTGGCGCAACAGCAGCAGGGGTTTGCCCTTCATCATTTCCATTTTCTCCCGCCATTTTATTTTTCTGAAATAAATGACATATAATTTATTGCTCATTGGAAGTTTGATATCACGTTTTGGAGATTTCATTGAGGCACGAATTACAATACATAAAAATATTCTTTATTTAATTTTCTAATCTATTTTCTTGACATTGGAATGAAGTGGCTTCGATACTCTGATGTTTCTGGAGAGACCAAGCCGAAGGCCTTGAACATTAACTAGTTTATTTTATTATTTTAAAACCGCCATAACATTATCTCTGTCTATTCGATGTTTTCAGAATGAGAAAAATAACATTTATAGTTTTTTTAGCGCTTAGGATTCATTACATTTTGATGCGGATTCAGCTTATGAATATTTGATCAAGTTTTGCTAATTTTTTTTTACCAAAAAATTTCCTTTATTTATTATTCATGTTTTCGCTACTTTTTTGCAAGAATCTTTATTTAAAATGACCCTTCCATTAGCATAGAGCGTACCTAAAAAGAATAATTTTATCCAGTTTTACTCGAATTTTTTTCCAAAAAATTATTTCGATTTTCCAAGAATAAACTTACCTCTATTGTGGTTTATATCAAAACCCACAATATCACTAAAATTACGAATGAAAATTCTTAACCACATGCAGTATTAACAAAATGGGGGAAAAGTTCACTTTGTATGAATAAAAACTAATGCAAACTAGTTTTCCTATAGCTGGTGATGATCCTGGAGAAAGGTTTAATGAACATCCTCCTTTTCCTCCTGGTGTTCGACCTGAACCAGTAACACGAGCGGGAGGGGTCCAAGCTGGAATCTTCTAAATCAAAGAATATTTCAGATGTGATGAAATATATCCACATAGATTATCAGAAATCATCATTTTTGTGTTGTGAACTTCGGGATCAAGCTTTGATCTACATCTTAAGAAGACTCGCCGATTAATCTTTTTCCTCATCGAATTTTATTTAGGGATCAAGGATTTATCCTCAAAGTTCAAACCTCAGGAGAATATAATTTCTTTAAAAAAAATTATTTCAGGAAAACTTCAAAACACTCCAAATTTCGGGTAAAACATATTCCAATATTTTACCTTTCCCATGATTGAAAAAAAAACGTCAATCTGATAAACTTTGGGTAGAAAGTTCATTTGTGTATACTAAAAAGGAACAAATGTTAAACCCTCCATTCAAGGAAGGCTATGCCCCATTCACAACAGTACCATTTAAACTTTTATCTTGTAAAAAATGTGAAAGCTATCGTCGTTTTCGAGTTAAAAAGTGTTTAATTCGGATTATGTAGCAAGAAATCCAAATGCTACTTTTGTATAAAACCTGAAACATCAACTTGTTCAAAGAACAGAACAGCATAAATCCATCATTTTTCAACGACAATGGGTTGACGGCACTGTTGTGTATACTGTATAGGGAAATCCCCTCTAAATGGATTGGAGGGTCATATAAAATTACGTCTACAATCCCTTTGAAGATTTATACGGGTATTCTGGTAACAGAGAGTAACTCTGAATAAAAATGCATTAAACTCGCCTTAACTACAGACTGGAGAGGAGTGTAGGAGGAAGGTTTGGAAGAAGGTTGAGAAGTGACAGATATTTTAGTAAAATCCGAGCCGGGAGTTAGTGACTCATTCTCTTTCATCTTTCCATTGTGGATAGAGAGAGGGTTGGCAGTATTGGAGTTAGGTTTGCTGAACGGTTTTGGAAGCTCCGTGTTAGGTCTTAGACAGGGAGGAGCAGATACAGGATTTGTTAAACCTCCGGGCTTACGTTTATTTGGCGGGGATTTCATAGTTTTTCTCGTCTTCTTCTTCGGAGAGTATTCCTCGTCACTTTCTTCATCTTCTTCTTCCTCCTTTTCGTCTTCTAATTTGTTAGGAACTTCTTCCTTGTTCTTGGCATTCTCTTTACCCTTTCTTCTGAAAAATCTATAATAACTTTTGAATTGCCCTCTAGTCTGTTGTATTTCTAAACTTTGCAGGAAATAAATGAATTTCAAGGAATTTTGTATGACCCTCTAATTAGAGTGTGGAATGTCTAATTCACAATTTAACCTTCAAACCACTAACTAAGTAGCAGTGAATTAGGATATCTCATCCATTCTTGAACGAGAAAGGGTAAAAGGGTACCATTGTGAATCGGCCATGGCACTCTATAAATGAAGGGTCATTTGATATTGCGTTTCCAGTCTCTGCAAATTCCAGAATTTTTTTTTACAAATATTATTTGGGCCAAGTTGACAACTTGGCCCAAAAAAAAATTTCAATGAATAAAACAAGTCATTAATATCATAATATTTATACAGGGTTACCCACAATGGATAAGACTTTAATGAGGACCTCCTACTTTTTAAATATAATGATCTGAAGGTTGAACTTAGCTTTCTGCCTTCAATATGGTTTATGAATAGTACATTAAATAATTCAGCAAAGATGCAGATAAGTTTCTTTCTTTGTGGGTAACAATGTATCTTATGTATTTTAATATGAAGTGAACCCCCCCATNAAGGCATCTTTAATTAATCTGGATTATAAAAATAGAAAAATTAGGTTTCTTTGTGTTTGAGAAAAAAAAGCTGGCATGGTTTAGAATTTTAGGGTTCAGTACTTACACATTTTTGTCTTTCGGGGATTTTCTTTCTTTTCTTGTTTTCTTCTTTGGTGAGTATTCCAAGTCACTATCATCTTTTTTATCATCTTCAGGTTCTTCCATTCTTTTATCCTCAATTTCTTCAAGTTCTTCTACAGGGTTAAGACCTCTTTTGTTGACTTTCTCCTTCATTCTAGAAAATCTTAATTTACAGCCACGATGAAATAAATTAAATTGAATTCTGATCATAATTTGTACGTTAGTGTCATGAAAAATTTATTAATTTTCAACCCAATAATTCAGCTTATTAGCATAAAAAAAGAGCAACCTAAATAGAAAATAAAAATGATAAATGAAGAAAATTAAAAATTAAAAAGATCCATGTGTCTGATAGTTCAAATATTTGATAATTTCGGCTAAAAATTAAAAATTCTACAATTGATAATTGAAAGTTAAACCTTTTCAATAAACTGCTATGCTAGAAATATTGAATTATTTTACTATTGTGCGCAGTAAAAACATTAAACATTTAGGATCTATTGGTTCTACGACGCTTGGAGCGGTCAAGAAATTACGCCCCCCCCCCCACCTACCCCCATATAAGACATACATTTTACACATAGCTAGTTAAGATTCAATCAATCAAGTTTAAAACTGAAAGGGAACCCAAAGTGGAACCCCCAGACTGCCTTCAGGGCACCACTCACCATCGTGCAGATAGCGGCCTGAAGTCCAATGATATGTCTCCATTTAAACACTTAATCAAAATCAAGCATATAATTACTTCTTTCATAATGTATTTATTGTATAATTTACAAATGTTTAAGAAGTTAAGTGCAGCTTCATTAATTCTTCAATTCCCCCGTTATTCCTCTTTATTTCTTACCTTGCCGGTTTCTCCGAAGTATCCACTACGTATTCCGAATCTGAATCAGAATCCAAAACTCGCGCTTTTTTCTTCCTCTTGGTTTTCACAGGGGATTCAGGTTCAGAGTCAACTTTCTCTACTAGAACAAGATCATTTCTGTTCTTTATTCCAGAACCGGCGGATACGTCGGATTCATGTTCTTTGAAAGCTTTTCCGGATTCTTCAGTATCCGGCTTCTTTTCCGTTTTTCCTGATCTTGCATCCTTTCCACCGGATACAAAATCATCATCATCATCCGGGTTGGGAGCATCCGATTTTTGCTTAGCGATGCTTAAGGTTGTCCCTGTCGTCTGTACAATCCAGTTTTCTGTTGGTTTCTTCTTCTTTATCTTACTTTTCACAGGAATTTTAGAATCTAGGTTTGGTAGATCTGGGTTCTGATTAGATTGTGGTTCCAAGTTGGTTGATGGAGCAGAACTTTTCTCCAGACTGGGTTTAGGACTGATACTTGGCTTAGGTTGTGAATCATCGAGGACAATAACCTCCTTCTCAGAAATCTCTTCTATCTCTAAATCATGTTGGGATCCTTCTTTTTCACACTGTTTAAATTTTCCGGAGAGTAATACGTTTTGTGGCCCCCCCCCTTTTTTTATTTATTTTCAAAAATGGGGTTATAACGAGAGTCGTCGATTTCATTTTTTTACTGGTTTAGATAATATTAGTTGATTTATGTATTTTTTTGTGGCGAATTTCTGAGAATATTTGTGTATTTGAAAAATGTTGATCAGGACTTTAAAAATGTTCGTTCATTTCTGTAATATTTGAGGATCTCAGGGAATATAATGTGAATTAACAAAATATTCGTAGATTCAAGAAATATTTGATAATTTAAAAACTTATTACATGATGAGTTTGTATCGCTCGCAGAGAGTCGGAGTGCATCAAACAACTCTTTCTGGAATCTAAAAATATTTAGAATACAATATTTTTTCCGTTGGTGAAGCAAACTTTTAAGAGACTAACGTTGTAATTTCTACTGACTTTCCATTTTATACGATACCCGTTAAATCTTATCTATCAATAATGTGGAAGATATGGTCGTTTTTCTAGTTTGAAAAGATTGAATGGATGTTTATTTTGTTCTTGATCAGACAAAGCTGTTAAAGGTACCGTTGTGAATCGCACATGTCCATCTATAAAAGGAGATTCACTTAAAATCACGTTGACAGATTCTTTAATATGTGACTGACGAAGATATTAGATTAACATTCTATTTATCTATCTATTTTGACAACCCAATAACACGAATGTTAACAGGAAACCACCCCTCCCTGAGGAGTACGTGGGTCACAGAGTTACATTACAAATTGAACCAGATCCTATTTTGTTAAAATTTATTTAACAGGCAGAACCCAGCTTTTTTACTTTCATCATTACATAATTACAAATGTGAGCAGTGTCTGCGTGTCCGGAAATCATGAACCGAGAACATATTTCGGAAGTGTCGAGAAAAATCTTCTAAACTTCCAAGAAGGTGCAGACAAGATAAGAAAGAATAAAAATGATACGAATTAAAACAAAAATTTAACAACTATTATTTTGGCTTGCAATGCTGAACAGTTTTTGGGACAGAAATTTTCTCTTTATCGCGAAGGTTAAACTGTTTTAGATTATACTAGCTTAAGTGCCCGGAGGTATCCATGGAATTTTGGGTTTCCTAAAAAATTTCAGCCAATTTGGTCCAGCCGTTTGGCCAGCTTTAGCTAACATATTATATATATATTTTGTCCAGAGCTTTAGTTCCGTCAAAGCATTTAAGCCTATTCGGTCCAGTCGTTTGGCCTGCTATAGCTAACATATTTACAACTATTTATGAGCGAAGAGCTTTATTATATACAGTTACCTTTTCTCGTCTAGACTAAGCCGTTCCTTCCTTCTTGGGGACCCGTTTAAATTGGCTAAACAGAAGCATCATTAATAAAGGAAAATATACATCTCCTTGAGAAAAATGCATGGACGAATTCACAATAGTTTTTCAATTTCGAGATAAATTTTGTTTTCGGCGTGTCAGAAATGAAAAAGATCACGTTTAGTGCAGTTTTACTACCTTGGGTTGATGTATAGACAATTGAAGATTTATCAGTCTTCTTCTTCTTCAATTTCGTCGGCTTTGATTCCTAATACAGGAAGATTTAACTTGCCAGTCTCTTCATTTTTTCTTCCTTTTTCTATGAAGGAGCCTATTCCACTTTCCTTCAATTTGTATCCCTCTTCCTAAATTTCTAATTTTCTCCCCCCTTCTAAATCCTAAGTATATCCTATCCCTCCTTTTATATTCTTGAATGAGTTCCTTCACTTTTTGTCCCCCTTTCAATGCAAATATCTTTTTTTCTAGGTCCTCCTTCTCTCTTTATTTTTAAAAAGGTCTTGTATACTATATTTTTTTCTCTTTATTCTTCATATCTCTTTGCTATATTTTCTGTACCTATATATGCAATTTCCTAGTTTTCATTTTTCTATTGAAATTAATTATTTTCCTATTCAGACACATATTGAGAGGGGGGGGGGAGGGGGACGTAACAGTTACTCCACCTGGTGAAGTTGAGGAGTGGGTTCAGAGAAATCGTCATCAGAATCATCAAAAAACGCCTTCTTTGTACGTTTCCGCTTTTTAGCCGTTTCTGCCATATTTAATACATAGTTTATCTGAAACTAAAGGTTTTAAACAAAAAAAATACCGTTCCAGTTGATAGATTATTTAAATGAAACAAAAACCACGGAACATAATTTTCATATTTCGAAACAACTTGACAAATAAATGGTGATCATCTAATCGACATTTTGTTTTGGTGGTCGATAACGGTTTACGAAACAATTTTAGGAATTAATTTCAACCAAAAAAAGAGATTCCAAAACAGACTGGCAGGATCAAATATCACAAGTAGACGCTACTGTTGTCTGGTATTGTTTAGTTCTTTGAATGAAAAAAGATAACTTTTTACGTGATCTAATGGTGTACTAGAAATTGTACAATGTAAAATAATCTTACGGATACAGTTAAAATATAAGTTTCTGTTAAAATATTTTAGTATTTATTTATCAAGACTAGAAATTCAAGGCGCTTCGCACCCATCTTTCTAGGCTTTTCTTCTATTTAAATTGTGAACATGTTCTTTTTGTTTAAATTTAAAAACAAAGAAGAAACATTTTTTGCGGATTTAAAAAAAAATTCGCGGATTTTCAAGAATTAAAATTTTTTTTTACAAAATTGAAAACCTTTAAAACACATTTTTTTAATTTTTACATTCATAATCCTTCCCTGTGATCACGTGATGTCACACAAAAAATTTGGGCCCGATCGGTTCAGCCGTTTTGATGTTTATTGGATACAAACAGACAGACAGACAAACAGACAAGCCAAATTTATATATAGACTAGCCTTAGAGGGCGCTTCGTGCCCATCTTCTAAATTAATTGTGAACATGTTCTCTTTGTGTACATCGTAATACAAAACAAAAATAATCCGCGGATTTTCACAAAAAATTTCGTGGATTTTCAAAATTTTAAAAACTTTAATGGAGATCGAATTTTGATGGAGACAAATATTTGAAATTTTGATCATTCATAAACCTTCCCTTGGGTCCCTAGATGTCCCACAAAAAAATTGGGCCCAATCGGTTCAGCCGTTTTGACTTTTATTGGATACAAACAGACAGACAGACAAACAAACAAACAAACAGACACCCAAGCCAAATTTATATGTAGATTTACGAAAAAATAATATTATTGAGATCACTTCTTTTCAGGCCAAGTAGAGTACTTTGCTTGTTTGTAAATTTTTGTTTGTTCATAATCAATGACGTCATAACAGCTAAACCGATCAGGGACACATTTTATGTGGGACCTCACATGACTCTAGGGAAGGTTTTTGAATGGTAAAAATAAAAATAGTTTGCCTTAAAAAATAGCGATTTTTGAAATCCTCGAAAAAAATCGATAAAATAGCAACAATTAAAAGTTAAACTCGAAGATGCATAGTATCTATAAAAAAGCGAAACAATTACATAAGATGTTCGTCTCTAACAAACAATTCTAATTTTTAAAATGCCTGAAAAGTCATTATTTATGCAAGTTATAAAACAAGCAACATTTTACATGTAAAAATATAGGAAACAACATTATTCATTCTTCGCATCAATCCTCGTCATCAGAGAGTGGATTTAAGCTAGAAATCGGTTTAGTTGGGTCTCGGGTCATACTCAGAACCTAAATATATATTTTTATTCGTTAAATTTTATAAATTATTAACTCCTCTCAACTCTTTTATTCTTTCGTATTTTCATCTTAAGAAATCAAAAATATCTTCTTCCAGTATTAACCCGGGGAAGGGGGGGCACCCTTACCCCCCCCCCCTCCCGCCTCTTTGAATTTCGTCGATATGTAAAGGAGAAAGTAAAGAATTTTTAAAAGGAAATGTTTGAGTTTCTTGTAAATTTTTTTCTGAGGGAAAGAAAAAAGTTGAAGTCCCATTTTTTTCTATTTTCGAAATTAGATACTCCCTCCCCTAACTCAATAATTCAACCATTTTTTCGTAAAATTCATTTTACCTTCCGTTCATCCAAGTTTTCAATATAATTGTTGAACTGGGAAACTTCTTTGCCAAAATTTACAAGGAAAACTTCATCGTCCTCATCCTAAAATGTAATAACCAAAAAAATAACCATAGATATTACAAAAAAACTTTAAAAGCAAAAAGAAATGTATCCTAAAAAGGGCTCAGGAAAACAAGTACCAGAGTAAAATGTGATCCAATCGTAATATGGAGAGAAGAAAGGCAAGGCAACATAAGCTGAAAACTTTAGAATGAGATATCCTTAATTCCAATTACTTAATCTGAGTATCCAATTGACACACTTTTGATTTTCTTCTTTAACCGTTCTTTCTTGGATATAGTAGAGAAAAATCAAAAACTATTTTTTTTTATTTATTTAGAAGAGTCCCTCCCGTTTCTGTATATAATCGTAAATGGCGCACAAAATTTCAAATTAATCGGCTTTATATATGCGACTCTGATTGGTAGAATTTTATACACTTTTCAGGATACAAGTACAAGATTAAGTTAGTTCTCGATATTGAGAAAAAGAGAGGATCAAGCATTAATCTCAATATTCTTCATTCTTAAGTTTTCAGCTCTGAGCTGAAAACTTTAGAATGGGATATCCTTAATCCTGATCGGATGATTAATCTAGAGATTAAAAATGAGAGGAAAACAAGCAATATTTAATCTCGAGATTAAGAAAAAGAGTGGATTAAGCATTAATCCCGATATCCACCATTCTAAAGTTTTCAGCTCTGGTCATATATTAAAAAAATTAACCTGGGAAAGGAAGCAATCTTTGAATTTGTTAAAAATAAGCTCGGATTTGTTCTGGATAGTATTTATGGACCGTTCTATTTTGTTCCTAAAAAAAGAATTGTTATTATCAGTTTTGTCACTCTTTATTCGATACGTTGAGAAGGCTCATTTGTTATGACAGCAGATAAATTCCAATTCAATTTTAGTAAAAGCTTAGTTTTTGTGAAAGGACAACTGAAGATTCATTTATTTTCTCTAACTATGTAGTTTTAAAATCTCACTCACTTACCNTCCCCTCGCATCTTCCAAAAGTCTTAAGTCTTCTCAAATTTTATTGCATTTACATATACCCTCCCAATTTCCCCTATAAATCCACCTACCTAGCCTCCTCATCTGTCCAGTTGAGGTATCCATGAGGCCCGACATACTTCCTTAATCTCCTGTTCCACAAACAGAGTTTTAACAATCTTACGTTTTCACTCCTGGGTTTAACGCATTCAAGAAAATAGAAAAGGTTTAAATAATAATTACTATCAGGGGTAGTTAATTTAATTTTAAGAATTCTTAAAAAATTCAAATATATTTGTTGAAGATCTGGAAGGGCATCAAGAGACAAGTTTTTACATCCTTTTCGAAACTAACTTCTGTGGGAATAATTTGAAGAGTGAGAAAGAACTCGTGTCCAAGATGTCCACTAATTTCATGAAACAGTGAACGGAGAGGGGGGGGGGGGTGGACATGTAAAGTAAAGTCGTAGTAAAGGAAAAAAGAAATGTTTGAAATAAAGATTAAAAATCAGTCCCTGATGGTAGAAACTATATCCGGTTGTTTCTTCAGCATAAGAGGAGCAATTCCCAGCTCCAGTAGTTCCTCCAAGGCCTGGATACATCTTGAACAAGTTTTTTTTTAACGCTAACTATTAGTAAGTTTAAACTGGTATTTCAATAGTTACGATGAAGTGAGTAAAAAAAACCAGTTAAACTTCGGTATTTAAAAGGCAAGGGTGTATATTAGTTGTGAGGCTCATATTTTTGTCCCCACCCCCCCATTCAGAATCATATTTCCCCCAAATCCACAACTTTGAAAAAAGGTATATTTTCCAGGTTTCTGAAGCCCGCGCAAACTTTGAAGAAGTTTGCAGCGGCGGCGGGGATTTAAGTAGTATAACGGAGCGTTTTGGTGCCCTAAAAAGGTAAACTTCAAGGTCCCCCCTGATTTTGTTTAAAGCATTTCTGATGATGTTTTTTTAGACTTTTTTGTTTTTTTTTTCCCTTCCCCTCCTGGCCCTTTTACCTTCCCTCTTACCCCTTTTTTCTTCTCTCTTCCCCCCTTTCTCTTTTCTCTTCCCCCCTTTACCTTCCCTCTTCCCTTCTTCCCTCTACCCCATTTCCGTTCCCTCTTCCCCTTTTCCCTTTCATCTTCCCAACCATCTTCCCACTTTTCTCTTCCCTTTTCCCTTCCTTTTTCCTCCTTTCCCCTTTCCTTCACCCTTTTTCATTTTTTCTGAACATTTTTCTTCCCAAAAGTTAATGAAAGCTCATATTTTTGTCCCCCCCCCCCCCCAGAGGTGGGGGGAACAGAAAAATATACACCTCTGCTTAAAGGTTTCATTGGTCCAACTTGTAAGAAAGATTAAATTAGAAAACCTGTATTTGTAAAAGATAGAGGCAAACTCGTCGATAAGACCAAACCTTCTTTATATATTATTATTATTATTATTAGCAGACAACCAAACATTCAATAAAACACCTATCTGAATATATTTAAACCTTGCTGAATATTTTACAACCTTCTGATGAGTACATCTGAACCAGTCTAAAAATATTCTAAACCTGTCTAATTAAATCTAACCTGACCTTGCACATATTAAACCCTTGTCTAAACCTCGGAATACATCTAAACCTGTCTAAAAATATATAATCATGTCTGAATAATTCAAACCTGTCTGGTGAAGGTCTTTTCAAATTAAGTGAGGTTTTAACAGCAATATCTAGCTCTACCAACCTCTGCTCAATCTTCAACCATCTTAAACAAACTTCATTAGAAAAAAAAATTGAATCTGCCATAAGGTACACGGAAAGCGAGTGGTATAAGCTGAACCACATATCATGAAATGGTCTTCGGTTGATACGTTGATGGTTTATCCGCCAAGGAATGCACCATGCAAGAATTAAGTGGAGGGTCAGGTCATCATTTATTATTCTGGATCTATGGCTCTTTTTAAACACAAGGAATAGATTAATACATAGCTAGACATAGTTGAACCATGTCTTAATAGCTTGACCCAGTACACGATAGAAGTGGTTTAACCAGCTGTATATAATTCAACTATTTCTAGCTATATATTTAATCTTGCAAAGAAAATTTTTTGATTCTCCCTTTCCCCTTCTCTTTTCTCCTTTTCCCATCCCATTCCCCCCTTTTTCCCTTTTTTTCCGGTTTATTCTATTGGTTAAATTTTTCACCAATACTCACAACAGGAAAACATGACATGACATAATAAAGTAGTATTACGGTCCAGTAATGTTACATCAAGGCCAGACTAGCAGAAAACCTTAATAATCTACTTAAATTAACACGAAAAAAGCTCTGCGTCAAACTGAACAAAATCTGTAGATTTTCGGCGAAAATTTAGCTTTTTCACATATACCTTAGTTTGTCCTTACTCCGTTCCAGCTTTTTATCCTGGTCCCATGCTTCCCTTTCTGCCGGAGACTTTGACGCCCGTTCCTCCAATCTTTTCAGAATCTCTGGAGGAACAAACTCTCCACTTTCAACCTTCTTTTTAAACTTCAAAGCCTAAAATTAATAAAAAGATATTTTGTGTGCAGTATTATTGAGGATTTATTTCAAATTGAGTTAAATTTATAATTAAATAATAAAAATAAACTTAACAGTGAAAAAAGTATATCTATATATGTTTTACCTTTAAGCCTCATTTGTTGAAATAAAAATATAAAAATAATGTTTAGTACTCAGTCCTTACCTTCCTGGCCGAAGCAGTTTCCCATTCTTGCCTTGCTTCTTCTGATGAGAAGGTTTCAGGTCTATCCTAAAAAAGGAGAAATAGTCATGAAGATTTTTTGGTCGAACATGTTAAATAAATAATTCCCCCCCCCCCCTCGTCAAACCGTACGGATATGGGTTTAATTAAAAAATGATAATCAAAATACCATCAGATATAAAATAAAGATGCCCTTCAATCTAACCCCAAAAATTTAAGTGAATTTACTGAATCAAGAATAAAGTGAGGTCATTTAGCTTGTAATGTTTGAGTTACAAGAGCAAAATATTTTTAAATTTTCTTTAGAGTAATATTTTTTATTTGGGGTGTGGGGAGGTGGGCCAGTCAAACTAGAGTTAATTAATATGATCTTTATTTATAATTGTTATAATTCGTTTTTTTCAACTCTAATATTTCAAAAATATTAAACAATACCTCTTAAGATCCAGTCGATTAACTATATTATTTGAAGGATCGTATTTTTATGAATACTAAATAATATAAAAGCAGACCCGGATTAATATAAGAATATAATCTTATTTACAAACCTTGTCCAGATTTATTTCGATTATATCATCTGTATCCTTCACTTTGACCCACAGCTTCCGACCTTCAGTAGCATGCAGGTCACCCTGAACAATTTTATCAAAATGTATTTTATTTATGATTAAAATTAATTTGTTACCTTCTTTGGACTACCACTTGGTGATTTTGTTGCCTGACCCTGCTTAAAAGAAAAATATGCTTTAACTGCTTATATCATTTTTCTAATTTTCTTTATTTTTTTATTATACATTTAATTTATGCTTTAAATGTCGCTTTTTTAACAATATTTTTACTTCGTATCATGAGTATAAGGTATTGGTTATAGATGGAAAATAATTATCGAATATATGGAGGAAATAAAAAAATATAATCAATTATGCAATATGCAAACCTGACTGTTTTCATCTACTGGTGCAGAGTGTTTAAACAATTTGACTGAGGGGGAGAGAGCTAACTTCTGATAACAAGAAATAATTAAATTTGAATTCTTTCTCTCAATCATTCATTCTCATTTCGACATTATAATTCAAGGTAAGGTAACAAAGCGTATATGGTTTAAAAATTAATTTTCAAAGAATTGGGGGAATGCAAAAATTGGACATCTGATACAGAAAAAAAAGCATGCAAGATTCTTTATAAACAGGGGGGGGGGGAGTGAAGTTCAAGATTTAACAAAAACTATAATGTCATTTTTTATACTTTTTAAATGCAAACCCTTTTTTCCCCCTCCCCCACACTTATTATTTAGTTGAATTATCCTTCCTTGCTTGGTTGACAAATATCTAAACTTTCTTCAGCTTTCCGTTTAACTGTCTTCGGAGGGCTAACCTTCTAAAAAAATTGAGCTAAATAAAAATATCTTATTGAACTAGTTTGCTGCAGATCCAAACAGGTTTATGGCTCCTAATTAAAAATGAGCTTCTCAGATTTACACCACCAGATTTAAAGAGAAAATTTGATGATTTGTAAAAAAGAGCGTCATTTGCGTTCTAAGGGGGTCTGTCAGTTTTGTATACTGGCAATTACGACCCGGGTCATGCTGCATGGTGGAAATAGCTGTGAAGCCCAGGCTGTCACCACAGCCAGTCTAGTTTTCATTGAGCACTAGTTTGAATTATGAAAATAGTCGAGAACTCTGTTTCTGTAACCAGAGCTGAAAACTTTAGAATGAGATATCCTAAATCCCGATTACTTAATCTGAGTATCCAATGGACACACTTTTGATTTTCTTCCTAAACCACTCTTTCTTGGATGTAGAGAAAAATCAAAAACCGGGTTTTTAATTTAGATGGTCTCTCCAATTTCTGTATGTTAATCTAAAATGGCGCGCAATATTTCAAATTTATCATATTTGCGACTCTGTACACTTTTCAGGATAAAAGTACAAGATTGTTTAGTCTCGTTATTAAGAAAACGAAGGATCAAGCATTAATCTCAATATCCACCATTCTAAAGTTTTCAGCTCAGGTTTACTATACTTAAAGCCAAAGAACCAACCTCCTGTAAAGCTGAGAAAGAGGGAAAAACAATATTTACTCCCCTCGGTACAGTACCTTTACTACTGAAGGTTCATCCAGAGGAAGAGTTTCATTTCCACCAGAGTCAACAAAAGACCCATCCTGAATATAGTTTTTGGTCGAAATAGAGATTTTTCAAGCTGTTGTAGTAAAATCATTAACTTAAATAAAAATCTTTGATTTACATGGATATAACTTCAATTTCAGTTGTCAATTAAATAAGTTTTGTGTAAGACCCAGCCATTTTAAAACTACTTTCTTTGATTTAGAAATCCAAATCGACGAGATGCTTTAAAAGTTCAAATCCCCAAAATTAACTTTTTAGACAGAACAAAAACTGAAGATATCCTCATTGTCGACACATCATGGCATATTTGAGGTCGAACTTGGTTGAAATTAGGGGCAACTTAAATTTACAAGGACTGCCTTCCCTTCTAATTAAAAATAAGGAAAATTAAAAATAAGGAAAAATTAAAAATAAGGAACATCTAAACTTATAATTCAACATATCCGTAGAAATAGGATTTAATAAGTACTTACATCAAAAGCAGCGATGTCAGGCGTGTGCTCAATCTGGTACATACCTTCCTTGTATCCTTTCTTCTTCATGTACTAAAGTAAAGCAGGGGTACATAATATATAATGCTAAATACATAATCCCTTCTCCCCCCCCTTAAAATTATAAGGACATCTTGCTGTTTTATCTTTATAATTTTAGAAAGAACTAATAAAATTAAGACAATAATTACATTACAGAATTTGGTAAAATCTATAATCTTAAAGGTTTCGCCAAAGTTAATTTAAATTTGATGTAATGCAACATTTTTCTTAATTAAGAATCGCAAATGTAAGTTTAAATCCAGTTTACGCGCGCAAAATAATATTTCACATAGATTTTTTAGTATGAATTATATATAGGGTTTATCTAGATTTGGATTGAAAAAAAATTTCTTTTATAATTCTTTGAACCACATTGTTCTGTACCATCCCCTTCTGCACAGCTTAAAATGCAATTTTTACTTTTAATGATAAAAGATAAAAAATAAAATATACTTATTGTCAAGGAGATATTTTATTTATTACCTTGTTCCCAAATCTTGATTTTGTCTCTTCATTGTAAAACCATATGTCTACAAAAAGTGTATTTGAAATTGCTTTTTACCTAAGAATTCTTGTGTAGAACTGTAAAATAATGATCAGGATTAGGCTCTACGACTGTAATGCTCACTGGGTCCGGCTATATATATGCTCTCAAATATTTTTCAGGTGATTAAAACAAAAAATTGTTCTTACCCTCGCTTTTCAGTGTAGATGTTTCATAGGTTCCATAGAAATATATCTTATACCTGAAATACGAATAGTGCTAGTGCATTCTCATAATTCTAGACATATTTTTTTTAACATTAACTTTATATTTAGTTAAATGAAATTTAAGGAAAGAGATTAATGGCAGAGCAACCCCCGGGGGGGGGGGGGGGGCTCTAGCAGGTCAAACTACAGAGATACGCTTTGCTTAAATAAACGATGAACATTAACAGGTTTCTTACTTTTGTCCTGATGCCAACCCTGATATTCTTGCCGGCCAGGGCGGGTACCCTTTCACCTAGACATGAAAGTTAATTGTAGGAGGCTGCAACACTTTACAGTTTCCCATATCACAGTGGATGAATTGGATCATAGATCTATATAATAAAAAAAGAAATCATATATATGTTGCCTATTGCCGGCCAAACGGCTGGACTGAATGTGCTGAATTTTTTTGTGGAAACTCGTGGGTTAATTAAAAAAATTCGACATTTTTTTCAACTTTTTTTTCAACATTTTCTTTTCCACGGGCAACGCTGGGCCCTTCAGCTAGTATGTATTAAGTATAAATCAGGGATATTGGAATAGTTTTCAAAAATTCTATAAAGAAATGTAAACAAATTCTACAGAGAAATATATATTTATTTTGTCAGTTTCTCCTCGGCCTCTCGTTTCTTATGGAAATCCGTTTCCATCAAATGTTAGTTTTCTCGATTTGAATATCAATAAAGTTATCTATAGAGTTTTATTCCAGATCCATATTACTTTCTCTAAAATCGGAGAATTTTTCATTAATAATTTTCCTAATAGTTGTAATGCAGCATAAAAAACGCGTTAAAAATTTCAACTTCATAAAAGAATAATCATTACTCCATAATTTTCCCAAATAGTCCAACATACTAAAAATTCACAATAAGAAACTTCAAGAAAAATTATGGATAATGAATTCCAAGAAACAATATACACCTGGACTGACTAAATTATCAATCCCGACTTATTCTTTCGATTGCCACCATAACCAAAGTTTTAAAAAATTGCATACGGCACCATTTATACTTTTCAAAATGCATCTTTTCAGGGATTTTTATGCACTTTAATCTTGTTAATAGTTAAAGCATATATTTCGTTTAAGAAAAATTAGTAAAAAAACCTTGGCAAAAACTAGGTCCCCAGTTTCAAATTTGTCCGCTTTTGGCATTCTCTTCCTGAAATATATAATCAATTATTCAGTGATTATTTATAAAAAAAAATAACATGATACCACTCAATCTTAGAGAGAATGAAAAGGTCCGTAAAAGTATACGATTAATATAGTTATTCAATTTTTTTTTTAGGGTTAGGTTAGGTTATGACAATTTTTGGGCCGAGTACTGTGGCTAGGAGAGGCGAAGGGGCCGAGCACTGCTGCTAGGACAGGCTAATGGACTAGGTACTGCGGCCACATAACCAATTATACCCTTGGTACATATGAGATCCAGGTACAAAATAGTTATAAGGGGCGGGGGGGAGGGGGGGGTCCACGAATAGTTCTTCAGGAAATTACCAAGAGAAGGTAGTCTTACTATATAAATTGGAATTTAGAAAATCCTTAAGAATTTTAATTTAATAACATCTTATTTAGTGAAAAAATGTAATAAAATGTTTCCTAAAATTAATTAACATCAATTTGAGCAAATTAAAAAAAATTGGGCAATTCATGAACTTAACATTCAATGGGTTAAATTTAATCTAAGTAACTGTTTTAGAATATATAATTATGTAACAGGCGGCTACAGGAGCTAATTAAATATAAATAATAAATCTTAATTTATTTCTATATACCTTATTACTGGTATCTTAAGACGTTGTTTTTCAGAAAATTTCGGCGCTGATGTTGATTTCTTTTTTCTTCAAACTTTTATTGAAAAATTACGACGTAAATATCTTTATATAAAAAAATCACAGGTTTAACAAATGGCTTTTCGCTATATACTCTCTACTAGTGTTAGTGTTAAGAGTGGTATTAGAGCGGTATTAGCTAATACCGCTCTTAAGATACCGGACTCTTGACCCGGCCACTAATTTAACTGATCTTGATGTTGATGCCGATGGTTTGACGCGGCAAAGTGAGCTTTAATGGCCCCGGCTAATCCGTACTACTCGCGAATGCCGCAATGAATAATAAGTCAGAAAGAGAGCCAGTTCTAGCCGCAGCGCTCGGTCCCCTAGCCTATCCTAGCCACGGCGCTCGGCCACATAGGCTGTCCTTTCCGCAGCACGCGGCCCAGAAAGTATCTAAACCTAAAATAATATACTAATTTCTCATTTCTTCTAATTCATTGCGGCATTTGCAAGTAACAGAGTTTGGCCGCTACCGATTTAAGGGAATTTAGTGGATCTTTCTTAAAGCGGACAGTAGAAATTTAAATTTAAATTAAAATAGAATTTTTAAATGTTGAAGATGTATTAATAATCAAAAATATTATTTCTGATAATTATTTTTCACAGGTTCAAATGTACTTATCGCCTAATTTGAAAATTACTTTAAACTATTTGTCAAATTAATAAACGCGAAACCATGAAGCCGTGAATGCCGATATATCGCCGCAAGGCAAGAAATCGTTAGATCCATTTGGTTTGGTTTTAAATGGCTGACCCGGTGCGTGTTTTGTAAATTTTGTGAAAACAACTTCATATTTTTATCCTTTTATTTATTTTGCTCGTATTTTATTATGAACGATTTAATCCATGAATATCTACTCAATCATTTTCTATTTAGTTTATGTAGTTACAATTCATATTTATGTCAAAATTAAAGGAGCAAAATTTAGCCGCGTTGGCATTTATTTTTATTAAATAAATATTTAGCATCAACAATCAACATGGTATTGTAATTTGTAAATGCTAATAATCGTTGATCGTTTTCTTTCTTATGTTCCACTCGTGATTTCATTTGAACTTGAAACCAGTGCTTAGGATCCTTTTAATTTTGATGCGGATTCGGATCCTGGATCCGCTTTGGAAAAAAATAGGTCCTGATCCAGATCATTTCTTTACGATTTAGTGAATTTTTAAACAAAAATAATTTTTAATTTTTCGCCTAGGATCCGTGGATCTACTTATTGTTCCGGATCCAGGAAGCCAAAACCCTACGGATCCAGCGGATCCGGATCCTAAGCACTGTTAGAAACCCATTGAAAGTCCCATTTTCGTTCATACTTCACCTACCTACTCATCACCTATCTAATTTTCTTCCTACATGCTAACCTTTTCTACTTCGATAACTAGGGACCGTCCTAGAGAACGATTTTTGGTATATTCCTATGGGCCGAGTGCTGCGGCTAGGACAGGCTGGGGGCCGAGCGCTGCGGCCAGGACAGACTTTTAATTTCAACTAAACTAGTATATATTTAGATTAGGTTAAGACGCTTTCTGGGCCGAGCGCTGCGGCTAGTACAGGCTAGGAAGCTGAGCGCTGCGGCTAGGACAGACTTAAGTTCATAAAATAGGTTAGGTAAAGACACTTTCTGGGCCGAGCGCCGCGGCTATGAAAGTCTAGGGGGCCGGGCGCTGCGGCCACATGACCAATAATATCCATGTGATGCAAATGAGATCAATGTACAACATTGATAGGAGGGGGCAAGGGGGGGTCCAAAAATCGTGCTCTTGGTAATTTACCAATATTTAATACGAACAGGCTTTCAATTTCAACAATTTTCAACAAAATTAGTATATATTTAGGGTTAGTTTAGGTTTAGACACTTTTTTGGGCCGAGCGCTGCGTTCAGGATAGGCTGGGGGGCCGAGGCAATGACAGACTAGGTGACCTAGCGCCGTGGCTAGGACAGGCTAAAGCCGGGCGCTGCGGCCACATGACCAATTATATCAATGTGTTACATATGAGATCCATTTACAAAATTGATAATAATTAAAAATGTGTAATTTCTTTAAGAAATTACACATTTTCTATTTGTCGAGGTCAGTTGTGTCCAATTTTTTTATTTTATGGAAGAAGATCACTTATTAGGCGTTTAGCCAAAAAATTGGAAGGTTTGAACCAGAAATGAATGCATGGAACCCCCCCCCCTCACTCATCAAATTGGACATCTCCACCATCCTCTTTATATTGGAAAAAAAAATAATTTGTTTTGAATGTATATAACCTGTCATACCAATTAAAGATCTTCATTTTCTCTCCAGCTTTCATTTCCTTCTTCATTCTAATCCTCATCTTCCATCTTATTCCAGAATATTGGTGGTCAATCCTTCATCCAAACCAATCCTTCAATCCTCAGTTCGAGATCCTTGATCCTTCCTTGAAGAATCCATTCCAGCTGATTGATCCCTACCTGCTGATCCATTCCTCGGATCCTTAACCAGAATCCAGCTCTGATCCATTCCTTGGATCCTAAACCAAGACTATCCTACGAATCCAGATCCCGAATCCTCAACATGAGTGACGCAATGGATACTTCTAATTCTAACGTAACTTTGCGTATGATAATCCCAGGCCGAGAGATTGGTGTGATTATAGGTAAAGGTGGTGAGACTATACATCAGATCAGAGCGGAGAGCGAGGCTAAAATATTTATCAGTGATGGCAGTGTACCTGAACGTGTTATCACCGTCACAGGAAAACAGACTTGATAAATACAAATTTGATTAACATTAATAAACCTTCTTATTTATTATTCTATAATTATGACTAGGGAGGGTCTGAAAGGAAAGCTTGTTTATTCTTTTTTAATATCCAAATCCCCAAAAGTTTTTGTATTCTTCCTACAAAATCGTATATTTAATTCAAAGTTGAGGGAAGGGCAACTTTTAAAAAAAAAATATATACCCGTATCACAAAAAAATATTTGATTTTCTCTTAAGGTAAGATATGTCGGGAACACTAAGGGGCACCTGAGTCCTGACAATGCTCTTGGAGGGGGCTTATGATTGAATTTGAAATTATATCTTTTTTCCTAAGTTCTATAAACGGAATAATAATATGCGACACTAAAAAGTTAGGTTCAGCTTAAAACAAATTAATTTATAACGTTTGGTTTGGTTAGGAAGCGGTGATGCTGTTAGCATGGCGTATAACCTGATGTGTGGAAAGCTGGAGGCCGGCGAGGAGGGGAAGGGAAACAGGAAGGACACCTTAAACCTCAGGTCATAGGATAGGAAATCTATATTTCGATCCTTTAAATATTTATTTATTCAGTTTTCTTTTCTTTTATTCAAGCCAGAAAATCGCATTGGTCTTAAAATATGATGTTTTTTTTGCTTAAACCTTCGTTTAAGAGGGTTCCTAGCGTTGATTTATTTTTTTTTAATTTAGCTTTTCTTACCTGCCCTATAACATTCCCTAATAACTAAAACATTTTAGTATGGAGAAATTCAGAATTCTTGGCTTACGAACAATCTCAATAAAAAATTGTACTTCTGTAATGCTGTATAGTGTATATAGTGTAAAATAAGAAATTTTAACTAAATTCTCTTGGTTCATTTTGGAGAAGGAAATCACTGGAATTTATTATTTCTAGGTTGGTTGTGGCTGCTGCTCAATGCGGGTCTATTATCGGCAAATCTGGATCAAAGATCAAGGAGATTAGGTCAGACATCTTTTTAGGATCTTAAGTTAAAGCTAGGGTTGATGTCAACCTTTAAAAATTCTAAAATAAGAGTTGAGTATGTGTTTTTACTAAACCTTATGAATAGTTGAGCACGCGCTCCAACTGAAACTACACAAACTGACCAAAAACAAAACAAAAAAGCGACATTATGTTAAAATCAGTGTTTCGGATCCGAGGTAACTTTTGATTCTGTGAATCGGATTTTCCCTATTAAATGTTATGCAAGGTTATAATTTATAAACTATAGTAATCCTAAAGTTAAAAATGTCGTCATTACTATTATATAAATGTAAACATTAAATTATTAAAGATAATTTTGAAAAATTTTCGTCATGTAAATAATACATTTACGAACCATTTTGATTTATTTATTCCATGGTTTTGGTTAATTTTTGGCGCTACCCGGATCCATATCAACGTTTCCTGATACGGATCCGGATCCGACCAAATGATACGGATCCATCCGGATCCGAAACACTGGTTAAAATTAAGAAATTTATACACGAGTTAATTTACTGGTAGGAATTAGTATACTAATATTGTATTGTTTAGGGAGAGCTGTGGTGCATCTGTAAACGTAGGTTCGGACCTGCTCCCTAGCTCGACTGAACGGTGTGTCACCGTGGCTGGCCCCAAGGACAAAGCTGTCGAGGAAAACAAATAATCAATCATTTCATTATTAATCTTTTATGAATTTGACTTATCATCGTTACTTTGGGTAATAAATCGTTTGCTCGTTTTTTTAGCTCGAAATTTAATCCCCTTGATAAAAAAAATCATGTACTGAAAATGAACCTCCCCTACTTTTTTGTCGCCATTTATGTAAATGCAGGGTGGCCAAAATGTACGGATTGTACGGATTGAATTGTACAGATTTTTTAAAAAAATGTACGGATCTTTAAAAAAATGTACGGATTGGTTTAAAAAAATGTACGGATTGTACGGATTTTTTTAAAAAAAATTGTACGGATTGTACGGATTGTTTTTTGAAAATTGTACGGATTGTACGGATTTCTTCTGAAAATGTACGGACTTTTGTACGGATGGGTTCAAAAAAGTTTTGGCCACCCTGTAAATGTAGATTTTTATGGTTAAAGAAATTATTGAATTTTGAAGGCGATCTATCAAATTGTGTCTGTGCTTGCCAGCAAACCTCTGCAGGGCTCTGTTGTACAGTACAAACCAGGTAGTTATGCAGTACTGTGCTGTTGAGTACAAATTAGAAAAGCATTACCTCTCAGTTTATTTTCCAAATAACTGCACTGAAAGTAAGAAAATAAACGAGACTCTGCGTGTCCTAACCTTATTTTTAAGCCTCATTTCATCCGTCTTGCTCACTGCTTAGGAGTGTTTAAGACTTAAAAATACCTAAATAACTAACCCCAACCCTCCCTAAAAAATGGTTTCTTGTGAGAGGGGAAAGGGCGTATTTTTAAAATCGATCTTAACTTACCTTTGAGATTGAATAATGTGCCTCTTTTTCTTTTCTTTTTCTCCATTTGCTTTTTTACAATTTATTGTTTGTTTTTTTACTAAGCATGCCGACCTAATTTTTTGTACTTAAGGTGTTACCATGGGACCTTACGGAGGTGGACAGATGGGCGGAGGAAATGAGGGGCGTCGAGGAGGTGGAGGTATGGGTATGGGCGGCGGAATGGGAGGTATGGGTGGTGGTGGTGGTGGTATGGGAGGTATGGGAGGTATGGGAGGTATGATGGGAGGAGGCGCTGGACCCCTTGCTGCCCTTGCCTCTATGGCTGGACCGCAACTTAGGAATGATTTTGATAATTTTCCTAAATTAAAGTAATTCTGAACACAAATACAAACAAATAAAATGTAGTTCAATTGGAACATATTTTTCAAATTCCAAGTTCCATTTTGCAGAAAATTCCTGTTTAGATGTTCTTATGTTCTGATATATTTTTTAATCTTACTAAATTTTCCAACGGCCAAGATGGCACTCTTCGTCAATCGTAATTCGTTCATCCAATGCGTTTAGACTAAAAATGTAGCACGGTGCAGATCAAAGGGATTGTAGGCTTAACTTCCAATGACTTCACTCTCCAGTGGCATGTTCAAGTCACAACGTTACCCTTTATATTAAAAGCTGTATATGACCAAGAATGAGAAAGATATCTATGCTTGCTGAAACAAGGGAGACAATTTTCGAATTTATACATTTATAAGGATACCGTTGTGATTCGGACATGCCCCTTTTTAATTGGAGGGTTACTTGAAATTACAACAATAATCCCTTTAACATTACTAACATTGGCAGGATTGAAAAGGACAGTCCTTGAACAATCATGAGTTTAGTGAATCAAAATATTCCGGCAGGCGAGGAGGAGGAGGAGAGGAGACTCATCACACAATGACAGTACCTAACGAGCATATTGGCTCCATCATAGGTATTCAGAATATTCTATCATTCCTTTCTACTGTCTTCAGACAAAAATTCATATACGGGAGAATACTATGTCAACTAAGTACGACTGGTTTTTAAATGGTATTTTTTTTTGCTACTGAATATAAAAATAAATAAAAAAAATGGATATTTTATAGCTGGACCAATCAAGCCAAAACGGCTGTTTTGAATAATTAAACCTATCAACGAATTCAGAGAACTTGGGATATCGAGATATTTCTAACCCCTCAAACTGCATTTTTCCAAAAATTAACAATTCACAAAAATCATTACTAATATTCGAGAGGAAAGATTTTTAATCAGGGGAATCAGCTTTCTAGAAAAGATGCACTAATAAATTAATTTTCTCCTAGGAAAGGGAGGTAGTAAGGTTGCTGAGATCAGGCAAATGAGTGGAGCCAACGTTCAGATTTCCAAGGTTATTATTCATCTATTTTAAACAGTAGGAAAGGAAAAGTATAAACTAATTCAAGTTGAAAAATAATTCCATTAAAAAGTATCAAGTATCCAGATAACTTCTAAAAAAAGAAGCAAAAAGTTATTACCTACAAATTTTTAAAATAATCCTTTCTCGATATCTATTATTATTATCATTCTTATGTTTAAAATGTACAATGTACATTGTTTTTATCTGCAATTCTCATTTGTTTATAGTGGGCCAACCAATTAAAACAACCTACTCTGGTTAGGCGGGTCCAAACTACATAGTAAATTGTGATTTTTTTATTTGTATTATCTCGTGCTTTGTAGTTGAATAAAACTATGAAAATATGAAATGAATTTGTTTATCAACGAGAACTTAATTTTTTGCATTAAAAGTCAGTTTACTTAATTTAAACTTACTTAACACAAGGTTCTACCAAGTTCACAATCAAAATTTTAGGCAAATCGGTCTTGTGGTCATGACAGGGGTGTAAAGTTTAAACAATTACCCCCCTTGAATTAAAAAATTAAAAATTGAACATGAAAAGGCAAGTTTTCTCATCCTTTTCCATCCTTTTTACTCAAAGTTTTTATATTCACCTAAAAATCATTTCATTATTTTTCCTGATTTAGCGAATAAAAACCCTTTAAAAAAAAATACCCCAACTTCTGGGGCAATGACTTTTAAAGAAAATATACACCCCTGGGTCATGATTGAATCGGACATAAAAAACATAAAAAAGACAGATAATCAGTGATTACTACATTTTATGTAGAGCTACCTGCACTATTAAATAAATGCTTTAAAAATTGATTAAAATCAAATCAGCGAGAAAAAATTATATCTGCATTAATATAGGGAACTGACAAGGACCAGGCTAACAGTGCTGAGAGAACAATCAATATCTCAGGTAAATTAACCAAACATAAACATGATCAAATAGGATCTGAGAAGGTCCGTTCAGGTCCATTTACGCCATAGACAGAACAGATAGACAGTTGGGATTGGATTAAACTGATTTCAAAATGTCAAAATCAAAATGTTACGGACTCAGATCCTTAGCAGTGTTTTTTGGATCCGGATAATTTTTCTCAATTCATATTTTTCATATTAATTTATATTTTTCTCATTAATTCATATTTTTCTTATTAATTAAATTTACATTTTTCTTATTAATTCATATTTTTCTTATTAATTCATATTTTTCTCATCAATTAATATTTTTTTCATTAAACAATATTTTTTTCAGTAATTCATATTTTTCTTATTGATTTATATTTATCTCAATAATCTATATTTTTCTTCTTTAATGATATTTTACTTATTAATTAGGAACTGCTGAAGCTGTAACCCTTGCTAAGAACTTGATCAACATGTCTCTTGAACTTCATCAGGTGAACTAATTTAATGTTTAATGTGGAACCGTAGAACTTAAACAAAATAGTTTTTGCTACAATACTAAATTACAGGTATTTTGTTAGTTTTTCTCCAAAACAATGTTTGTTTATTACCAAGGATCCGGATTATTATTGTAAAAAAAGTTAACGGAATTGTTCACGTTTAAAAACGGAGTTTAGCTTAAACCATAATTACACTTAATTGATTCTATCTCTTTAAAAAATGTAGAATGGGGCTTTTACAAAATTAAAACGAGTTCTGAAAACAATTCCTAATGAAACAAACTTTTGATTTCAATATTTAACCAAATTGGTAACTAGTTAACAAAATACATTTACATCAGCCTGATTTGTTTATTTATTCACAAAAATAATTTACGGCTGATATCTTAAGTTTACAGATTTATTTTTAAATGTCTGATAATTGATAAGAATGTTCTTGTTCATGATTTGTTTGTATTTAGTTGGATGGAGGTAAACGAGATGAGGGAGGATACGATCATGCCGGTAACGGTGGCGACCATGGCAGCCACGACTATCGTGATTACGGATACGGAAATATGGGCTCAGGATCTGGAGCTGGAGTTCCAGGTTTAGGTGCGTGAGCACATTTTGCTTGTGCGCGTACACGTCTTTTAAAAATACTTCCAAAAGCTGCTTCACACTTGGACCTTAAAAAACAAAAAATGAAATTTTTGTCTTCCTGAAGATTGTAAGTCTTCGGCTGCAGATTTTTTATTTCAAAATTCGGTGAAATAAAAATTTCTTAAATTGATCAGGCGTTGTTTAAGAGGCTACTTGTGTGAATCGGTAACGGAACACTTTAAGTTTTTAAATATAACCAGTTCACCAAAATGAATATTGATTATCCTAGCTAAGGGGAAAAATTCAGAAAACTTAAATAAATACTATTTTTAACTAACTTTTGTAGTCCTAATTCAACTGGCTATTGTTTCATATGTAATTAAATATAAACGATTATTTTCTTCGCCCGAAATAAATTTATTTCAATGGTTTACGTTATATTCAGGCGCTGCGGCTAACCGTGAAGTAATGAAGGCTCTGGCCACACTATCACATTTCAACAATATTACCGGAGGAAACTTATTCGGAGAGGGAGGATATGCCGGCGGGGTAAGTTCATTTGTAACTTGACTTACCAATTGAAACTTACCAAAAGTTTTTTTTGGTAAATTTGTTTAGGGTTTGATTAATTATTTCCTTTTAACTTTTAGTTGAAAATTAGAGGATAATGTTGCTTTTTTAATAATTATTATTTTTTTAAGTTAAAAGATTTTTTTGCTGAAATTAAACTTTCCGGCGGAAATGAGTACTTTTTGGTATAATTAAAGAGGGCTAAGAGATGGAAATCATGGTAGTGAACATATCTTATTGTTATATTTTATATTTAGATGGGCCTTGGTGAGAGTCTCATATTTTTTTAAAATATTTAATTCGTCATTTATTTCACTATTTAGATGGGAAATATGGGCCGTGGTGGACGCAACAATGGTTCAGCTCGTGGTCAGGACAGGTCCTCAGGGGCACCAAGATCTAAATTCTCACCCTACTAATAACCTCATGTTAATGTCCCTAAATAATTGTGTATTCCTCAAGGGGTTCTTAGTTGCTTCGTTCAATGAATGCCTTTTCTATATTTCTATTTCTCTTCCTTTATTTTGTTTTATTATTTACTGTTTTTTTCTTGTATTGTTTAAAAGAATATAGTATCAATTAGAAACTTTTGGCGCATTTTTGTATGTTATCAAAGCCACCAATTTTGTTACCAGTCCCATATGATCCGACTCAGATATCAAATTGACCTAATATTGCATTACTCTAATATTTTTCTATTTACTACACTATTCGTTATTATACTTGTTTTGGTCATTTACAGATTAAAAGATGGGCGAATGGTCTCAGGACGGTTCATGGTCAAATTACAACCAACAGGATTGGAACGCAGGACAGGTATTAGTTGCAATCTTAACATCAAATGCTCCATGTGGATCCGTTAGGAACAGAGCATGGACTCGAACAGGCACCTCCTTGCAACAGTTCACCTCCCCTAGTGTTCACACAATGTTAGACATCAAAAGTAATTTTTTACACTTGCCGATATTTAGTTATGTATTTGATCGAACAAGCATATTAAAAATTATCTATGTCTCAAAAAAACTGTTTGACAATTTGAAAGGAAGACGACATTTGCGGGGCAATAACTTTTAGAGCTTAATGTGTATTTATTTATGTAAACTTAAAATTTTTAATATTTGTTTTGATTTTACTTTTCGTTTTTGCATTGCGTTGAAATGGTAAGAACACTTAAGAGAGGCGAACTGATGTAGAACATAAGATCCAGCTAAAATATTAAATTATTTTAGATTATTATATATATTTTTTTCGGTATCTTAGAATAAACTTTTTTATATAGATGGTTTTAAAACAAAAGACAGATTCATTTTGAATCCAGGAAGTTTTAACTAATCGAGACTCCGATCCTAGTCCCTAAAAATAAAACCGTCCTAGAAATGTTTCCCTGAGAGAGCACTTACTGTCTGATTAAAAAAAAAAAAAAAAAATTCAATTCCAGTTGGATACCCGTTATCAAAAAGTTATTTAAGGAATGTAGTTTGGTATTAGTCTGAGGACATGAAGTATTGGAGTATTTCTAACATTATTCCAAGGATAGTGTATAAAAATAATTTTGAAGACTTGTATGAGTAATGAATATTTTTTCGACTTATACCCTATACCTGAACCTTGGAATTTTGGAGCTATCATGGTTTATTTAACGAGAACGGAGTTTAACGAGACTCGGATATTTAGGAACTCCGATATCGGGATCCTGGAAATGAAATGTCCCGTCAAGGATCCGTAGTCTCCGAAGCAGGAGAAGCTGTTGGTGGTGTGTTACCTCGGCAATATTCACTTGGTCCGGCCAGGGCTCAGAGACCGGCTTCAGTAAACGTATACCGTGGAGTAACTTAAGTAGCGTTGCTTACAGTAAAGTAATTTCGTCTCAAACCGGAAGTTGATCCTCTAAATTGATCATTGGTATACCTTTATTAACAACAAGTTAAGAACTTTACTAACATTCCTGACATAATCAACCTCGTTAATAGATATAAACCATTTTGGCAGGTTTTGGATGAAATGAATCAAGATCATGTCAAGATTATATATACCAAACACCATCATATCTTTGATTTACATAAAATGTACACTGCAATTTATAGGCGGAACGTAAACAAACTCAAGTATATTTTGTATATTTCATCCCAGCAACTGATGTTGACATGTTTTCAAACAAAAACCTGGCGTTATTTTCTTGGTTGCTATTCCTGCGTGTTTTTATTAAAAAATCATCCATAATATCAGAAAACAAATTGTCAAGAACTCCGTTTTTTGAGTAAGGTATACAACTGTCCTAAGATTGTGCCTGCTAGGGGAAAATGAACCGTCTTGAGTGCTGACTGCTGAGTTCAAAAGTTTAAGACACAAGAAAAGTTAGCCCTCATACCTTACAACTTGTAACCTTTAAAATCCCTTTTAGACTTGATTTTAACTCAACTTGTGTTAATTTTCGTGTTTTGTTTGTTTTATTTTTATTTTGTTTCTTAAATTGTTACCAAATAGCTAGTTGTAGATGTTTGAATTGTTAAATAAAGAATCTCGTGGATACTGGATAAATTAAAAAAAAAATTGACGATATTTCATTTATTGCGAAACAGTCATCTGTTAATTAATAAACTAGCGGAAACTTTAACGTAAAGCCAATATTAATATGTATAGCATCAAGTAGATTAAAGTATTTTTAAATATATTTAGAAGCGTATTTACAGTAATTTGTTCAGGGGAGCCCTTGCTCTTGAGTACTTTAGTTTCACTGGTTCAGGGGCTCTCTTTAAACCCGTTAAGACTAAGTTCCCTATTTCTCATTTTAAATTGGAGTAATTTTTATTCATTAAAGTGGTCTTTAGCGTCCAGAACCTATATAAATGAAGTTCTTTTATTCTATAATATTTCGGGCTTCCTTTTTATTTAAATAATATTTTAATTATTAAATATATTGTTTTCCCAGGCTGATGGATTCCAGCAGTTTGATTATGGGAACTATAATGATAATAGCGGTTATACGCAGGTAGACTGAACCTTGAAAATATTCATATTTTTAATAATGTCCATTTTCTTCCTTTTTTAAAGAATATTTACACATTTCTTAGATGTTTACAAGAGTAAAGAACAACTATGTTAATTTGATATTCATTATTTTGTTTAAAGATGGTACCAAGAAAGGGCATGGCTTTTACATTTCCGGCCTTTTTGAGCTATATACAGTGGAACCCATGAAGATGTGGTAAAGTGAGACGATTGTCAGACCCAAGTTTTAATTTTGAACAGTCCAATGAACATGATTTCTGAAGCATAATCACACACTCCTTTTACTTAAAATTTTAATAATTTCAATCTGATTGTAAAACTATTTGCTCTTAAACAACATCATCAATTACATATGAAATTACTCAACCATCGTCCTCTCAATTCATAAATCTACGTGTACCCCTTTAACATGGTTTATGTTGTTATTAAACTAAGGGTTATATGTAACATAAATAAAAATTTGAAAATTTAACCAAATGACTTAATCTTTCTAGAAATGATAGTTAATTTTTTGTATTAAGGATGCTAGTGTGGGGTATGTGGACCAAACCTCATATACAGGTTACACCAATGATTCTTTATTTTTAAAGAAAAATAATTTATTTTTGAATCTCACAATATTATGATATGGCACCATCTATTCTACCATCTCCAAAACATATAAATGAGAAATTTATGGATTAGAAATGATTTATTTTCCATTAAGTTGTCACATGTTATGCATTTTTAATCGTTCTTACATCTTAGGTATTTTTCATCTTAATGAGATTTGTTTTTAAATTGAAAATTCTGCTTTATATAAGTTTGTGCAATAAATGACTTAAGTTGGGGGTAAAACAATCGTTTTCGGCCTACCATTAAAATCAAACCTGCAGTTAGAACATCGATATATGAAATTGAATCCTATCACGTCATATTCGGTATGCACGACTACGCATCTAATGCCGAATATTTACAATTTGGAACATTTTATTTTTTAAATTGTTTAGGATCCATGTTTATCCCTGACAGCACTGCATCTTTCACAGCTTCAGCGGCGGTATTAACTTTTTTATTTGATCTCTTCCTTCTTTGATTTTAAACCGCATTACAGGGGTGTAAGGGAAGGGGAAATTATTTTCAAAGATCAGTGGGCGGGGGATGAAAATAGAATATCTAAAGGCAAGTTTTTAATTTATTTGATTAACTGCTTTACACCCTCCAAAATATAAATAAATATTAACGAAATTTTTTATCTGGTCAAAATGCCTTTCAACAAATAAGAGATTCATTTTGATTTCACTCATCTAGCTTAACATGGACTTTTTCCTTGTATTGTCACAGCATTTTCTTATGATAATATTTCAGACGACCTCGGCATTTGATGAAGAACCTCCACTTTTAGAGGAAACTAGCACAATTCATTTTTAAATTGCAGGGTTACCCACAAAGTATAAGACTGTAAAACGTCTTGAAACTCTTCAACCAAGACAACACCAAGTCTTGAATATAGTATTTTAACGACTTATTTAATGATTTAGCAAAGAAACAAGTTGCGGAATATATAAGGAAACAGACAGCAGCATGAATTCTGAAGTCTTAACCTTTGTTTTGGGTTGATTTATTGATTGATTTTATTTGAATGTAATTCTTTTGGGTTAGAATAAATGAATAAATGTGAATGAGTCTAGATCATATTCAATCGAAAGGGGAAAATCATTCACCTGTATTTTTTCGCTGGTTGATTAATTGATTGTGCTGGTTAGGAGCTAGGAATCAACCCTGATCATATTCTACAGAAAACCTTAACAGTTCTTAATCCACTCAGAGCTACAGACCAGGCGGCAGCAGGTTCACTAGTTTGGTTTTCATATCTTGTGTATTAGCATCTGAAGATCTTCAATAAAGGGGCTGTAAACGCAATTTCAAGCCACTGCACCCTTCACAGAGGCGGCTAATTTCATTTTTCAATCCCAAGCTGCTCAATGCTCATGGTTGTGAGTGTGACAAAAATTAACCTTGTCCTTATTTACTGCACAAAATTCCAGGTGGGGGGGGGGGGTTTTGTCAGGGGGCATAAAATTTTCAGCGCGCCTCGCGCTAAATAATTCAATTATTCCCCCCCCCCCTTTTCCACTGGAAAATTTAGCGGCCGGTATACCCAATTTACAACGGTACCCTTAAAAGCTTTATCTGATCAAGTATGAATTAGATATCCATTTGTTTTTCTATTTGAAAACTCGTGATTTCACTTCAAAATTGACTTGCGCATGTCTTGCTTCAGATACCATGTAGAAAATAACAGAAATTAACACTTCAAAATAGTAAAACGACGTTATTATTGTTCAAATTAGAGTTTTAAGGGCATCATAAAATGGCCCTCTTTAAAAGGAGGGTCCCTTGAATTACAACGACAGTCTCCTAGAATTACCATTTTTGATATATTTCGATAGATTAAGTTTAAAGTAAATTTTGATGTAGGTGATAGTGATTTGGCAGGACCGCTGTGCTTTATCTTAGCTTTTGGATCTTTTCTAATGCTGAGTGGAAAGCTGCACTTCAACTACATTTACGGTGAGTTTAGTACAGTCAGACATTTTTTATATTTAAGGAAATCAAAATGAGAGGTTTTGCAACTGTTAAAAAGAAAATATTGCATAATTTAATAAGATTAGTTTTAAATGCTTAGGATCCATTTAATTTTGATGCGGATCCGGATCCTGGATCCGCACTTGAAAATAATGGATCCGGATCCAGGTAATTTCTTTAAGATTTACTGATTTTTTTTAACAAAAAATAATTTTCAAATTTTTAAAAAAAAAATTTTTAAATTTTTATTCTTTAACTCGATAAACCAATTAGAAATGAGGAAATTTTTATAATCCCTCTTTTTTTCAAAAGTTCAGATTTTGGTTATAGGAGTAAAAAAGTTTTTTTTGCAGTTTTTGGTTGATATTTTACCCCTTGGATCCGGATCCGCATATTTTTGCGGATCTGGTTTCAGGAAGCCAAAATCTTGCGGATCCAACGGATCTGGATCCAGATCCTAAGTACTGGTTTTAACTTTGCTTGATAAAATTTTTATAAATTTGGTGAATTCAGGTATTGGTCTGCTGGGCTGTCTTGCAATCTATGCATTGTTAAACTTGATGGCAGTTTCCGGTGTTGCTATTTGTAAGTATTCATTAGAACTTCAACATATACTAGCTGTGGGATTATTGTGTGGATGTGGTAGTGGGAGGGGATGTGTTTTTAAGAAAAATTGTACCCCTGTAATCTAAGTTCTACATAACAAGCACATGATTAACGATAATTCATGAGTGTATTTACCCGGCAATGCGATAAGCGTAACTGTGTTTATTGTTCATGCTTACATTCAAAATCATTTGTTGCTGTAAATTTTCAAAATAAAAAGATATTTTTCCTAAGAACCACGCCCCGCTTATACATTTGTTTTTTATCTACCTAACTACAGTCCTGTGCTAGATTCAAGATATATAATTTTGGCATGGGACGTAGCTTTGCGGAGGGGGGGATAGATAAAACTCCTAAATTGATTATGTGGCCGCAGCACGGGCCCCCTAGTCTATCCTAGCCGCGGCGCTCGGCCCCATAGCCTTTGCTAGCCGCAGCGCTCGGCCCAGAAATTGTCTTAACCTAACCTAATCCTCAATAATAGGAGTTTTATCTATCCCCCCTCCGCAAAGCTACGTCCCATGCCTATAATTTTACAGACAGGCTTTCAACTGTTACAGCTTAAGTGGGCCCTAAAATTTTTAGACATTTTTTTTAATCTCTTCTTGGTGTGCTTAAGTTTTAAATTCAACATACTTTTAATCTGCCTATCGCTCATTCATGAAAAATATTTTTTTCTTTTAAAAAGTCAGAAATAAAGTTGAGAGGGGAGCTGTTGTAAATGATGGACCCTGGAGTGAGAAAAATTAGATACAGTGGCTAATATCTTGTAAATATAATATTGCCCACTAAGAGATGAGTAGCATCAATTTTCTTTCTTTTGGGATGTTTGAAATGTGGTCGGTCGTTTTTGTAACTGAAGAAATGACAGTGAGATATTAAGAAATTTTTCTAAAATTCAAAATATTAAATACAATCAAGGTTGTTAAAATCTAAGTATCTAAGTTTTTATGATAAAAAGAAGGATGCTTAATTTTACCAAATAAAAAAGACTTAAAGCTTTCTATACTCCGTTGAAAACTGTTAAATACAAATTGGTAGTCCAGGGTTCTATGTCTAATGTACTGCATAACACCCCACCCAGAAAATAACATTGAATCTTGTCCTCGATAAGAAGATTAACCCCTTCATTTTCTTACTTGACATTTTTCAGACTTATTTTTTCAAGGTACTGTAGTATCTGTACTCGGCTACTGTCTAATTCCTATTGTTGGGCTTTCTGGATTATCTGTTCTCTTCTCTCTGACTGGTGTTCTCGGTACAATTCTCACGGGGATAGCTGTACTTTGGTGTACTGCATCCTCAAGCAAGGTACAGAATTTGTATGTTCTGTGAAACAAATATTTTGCTAAACGTACAGCTTTGATATGTGGATCTTATAATGTAATGAATTCAGAGATACCCACAAATATTTCACCTTTACCCTTCTCTCCCTTCGGAAAGGGGTCAACATTGTATATTAAATGGGATGATAGAGAAATAACATCATTTTTCTGGTTTCTTAACGTATAAAAAGATATTTTTAGGGTGGGATGCGGTCCTGTTTTTAGGCTTCTTGGGTAGGGCAGTGGCATGGAAAGTCCATTTAAAGTTCGCACTATTAAATAGAGAAACTCAACTAAGAGTAAATCGAGAGGGATTTTTTTAAATCTTTAATACTATTTGTTTGGTAACTGTTTGCTTTCAACCAGTTTTGTTTTCAGCTGTTTGTAACAGCGCTGGAGATGCGTGATCAGCAGCTGTTGGTTGCCTACCCTTGTGGTCTTCTCTATTCGGTATTTGCTCTCATCACCATGTTCTAAATAGCCGCCATTTTGTTTTGTCACTTTTCTAGTGTTGCCATTTACATTGAAAACTACTGTCCAAGAATCATATCAAGAAAATTTAAATATAGGAGAAAAATGAATGTTTAATCAAATGCAGATTGAAAAAAAAAATTTAAGCAATTCACTGTTCCGGCCCTGGCCCTTGAGTTTACTAATCTGTGATGATTTTAACAATTTTGTGTTCTGAATTAACTTATTTATTTACAAAATAAAAATTTGAATATTACTATCTTTGTGTAAAAAAAGATTTAGACAAGAAAAAATGTTTACCCTCGGAAACTAAATTTGACTGTGAATGATTGAATAAAAAAATATGCACAATTTCCGCTCGATTTAATTCTACTTAAAGGACAAATCTTAATTCATTTTTATTTATGTATTAACAACAAAAAAGCGCTTAGATTACTGACTGATGAGTCTTACGTGAAAGTAAAGAATAAGAACTTTTATGTACACCAGAGATGGAATTTAAAGAATTTGAGCTGAGGTTTAAATCTGCCAAAACCCGGTTTGAATTAAGCGCCGGCTTAAATCTTGAAACATTTGATACAATTTTAAGACGAAACAACCATATTTAAGCCGCGGCTCAAATTCTTTAAATTCGGCCACAGTTCACAATTTTTCACATTATATTATCAATGATATTAGATTGTATATCACAATAACTGTTGTTAGATAGATAGATATATAGATAGATAGATATATATTTGACTAAATATTTAATTAAAAACAATTTCAGTTTCACAGTTTTTACATTTTAATTTAGCCAGGGCCTCTCTAACCATTGTTGGTTGTTTTGAATGAGAGGCCCTTCTGCAGCGATACATCCATGTTCAATTTAAATAAAACCAAATAAAAGAAAACAATTTAGAACAAAAGGAAAAGGAGGAAAATGAAAAGTAGTAGATAGAGAAAAGGTATTGAAGAATAGAGCGGAAAAGAAGAAGAATGGATCCCCTGGGGGGGGGGACAACCCAGCATTCCAAGTTTATAATGTTTATGTTTTATTTTGTTTTGTTATAACAGGGGAAAGGGGATAGAATCAAGATTTAGCAAAAAAAGCAATTTCGATTTATACAGGGAAAAAAGCTGTGTTAAATAATGTTAATTCTTTTTGGACTTTAGAAGTACTTAGTGACCCTTCATTTGAATAGTTACATGCCGTCAACATAGTGACCTTTAAAATCTATTTCATCCTTTATCAGAAAAATCTATAACGGTTGCTGTTGTGAATCGGACAAGCCACTCTGTAAATGGTACTAGTGTCAAAGAACTAGCCCTGCTATTAACGTTAATGCTACGATGTACTCAACTAATGAACCAGTAGGGTAAATAATCTTGCTTTAAGTCTATCTGGCTGGATTTGTGTTCCTTGTAAGATTTAGCTCTGATGAACCGGTCTTTAAGCAGTTCTATTGTTTGTCACCTTTCAGACTAGAGTAAGAGTCAAAAAAACGTTAAATTATCAACGTCATTTTTCCTCTAATTTTAAAATGAAATTTTTTTATAAACTCACAAAACGGTTGCAACTTTTGCAATTTACAAAATCCTTTACGATTTCTAGGGTACAAGAAATCATGCTGCACATACAGGGTGTTTCACGAAACACGACAGTTGGTGAATAGTTAAAAATGTCTTCTTCCATAATATGTCAAGTTGTTTGTTACCAAAGAGAATAATAATACATATTTTATGGCATCCATATTACAGTAAAATTGATTTCTAAGTAAAATAAATTTCAGTAAAGTTTTTCTAAACCAAATAAACAGCAAAAAGTCTTTAATATCTAATACAGTATATGGAAGGAATGGAAGAAGACATTAAAAACTATTCACCAACTGTCATGTTTAGTGGGACACCCTGTAGCTGATGTTTATGTTTATTAGATAACCTTGTATTTCTAATATTTTATATTTCAGTCTATCCAGCCAAGAAAACTTACAATAAATAAAGATATCAGACAATATCTGCGATATATATATGATTAAATCAAAAGAGCTGGGAACTTTAGAATGGTGGATATCGGGATTAATGCTTGATCCACTCTTTTTCTTAATCTCCAGATTAAATATTGCTTGTTTTCCTCATGAATTTAATCTCCAGATTAATTAACTGATCGGGATTAAGGATATCACATACTAAAGTTTTCAGCTCAGTGCTGAAAACTTTAGAATGGTGGATATCGAGATCAATGCTTGATATCCCTTTTCCTTAATCTCTAGATTAAATAGTGATTGTTCTCCTCTTGTTATTAATCTCCAAATTAATTAACAGGTCGGGATTAAGGATATCTCATTCTAAAGTTTTCAGCTCTGGTTACATAAGAAAATACTGAAGATGGTGTTTACAACTCTGCATCTGCTTTCTTAGCAGTAGCTTCATTATGAATCAATAATTCGAAATGCGCAATGCCGAGCTTATCTCTCTTACTGTACAGTATGTTCTTAGCATATGCGCGGCATTCAATATGGAGGAGCTGGCCTGCGGTTGGGTTTTGGAACTGCACTGCCACCAGGGGGCCAAGGTAGTTTGCTTGGTTTTTAAAAGGGAAATATTTGTCGTGGAAACCAGCAGATTTAGGGAAATATTCTATGTCGCCCAGACCTTCCTTATCAGCAGGATGTTCAGGGTGACAATTAACCCAGATCTGATTAAGTTCCTCTCCAGTAAGATTCGCCATTGATAGTTTTAAGTCTGTTGGTAGTTCCTCGGGTAAATCTGCAGTATCATTGTAGTAACTGTGGGTGAGTCCATAGATTTTATTCATTTTCAGATAAATACAAGGCTTACCAAGATCATATCCAAAATTATCCTGACCACAGGGTCCTAGACTCTCCAATGGAAACTTGCAGAATTTGCCTGGACCAGGTTCTTCAGAAGTGCAGTCAACCCCCTTACTTGTCCTGTATTTTTCAAGAAACTTGTTTGTTCTTTCCGCCCATTCCTTCCATCCTGCCACCCCACCCGTTACAGTTTTGCCCTCTGCTGCTTGGTTAAATATGATCATGCTGGAGTCGATAAATTCATCGGATTGATTTGGACGAATTCCCAGTGCTCCACTTGTTCCGATCAGGCTTTCATCTGTTGTCCATTTGGGAACCGTATCATCAATTGTCTTAAAGAATACAAACATACAAAGGGCCCAGAAAGCGGCAAGTAAGATGTAATAGATTATGTAAAATCCGATGATTAAAGCCCAAGACTTGGGAGTGCGCCCCATGATTGCACCTGTGGATTTATCATACAGGAAGAAACTGATTGCCTCCCATCCTTCCCTTTGAATAGGCCGGATAGCGGTACCGCCGAGTACATCAACCGGCATCTTAGTTCCCTGGATATAGAGGAGAACAATGTGGAAGTGGAGTTCAGAGGATCTGGGCGGGAACTAACCTCAATTCGGCCAACCCTTCTCAGTTGGAGGTTTGCCAACAATGCAACACTAAATGATAACTTCTTTCAAGATTATTATCACAATTAATTATCATCAAATTTATTAAAAATTTCAATTCTTGTTTTTTAGGATGTGGAAAATATTTTGTTATTAACCCTGAATCTCTTGACCGGCTGGGCTGCAAAAGAATCAGATTGCAAAATGCATATTCTGTGTTCATGTTCATATTTTTAGCAAGCTTTCTATCCATATACCTCACAACATATAAGATGTTCTTAAAAAATAACTTTGTACAAAATAAAGGGTTATGCTCAAAAGATGAAAGTTCTACATACAGCGACCCAAAACTAAAAATGTAAATACTCAATTTGAAGGTACAAATTCCAACCTCTAACATACACTTTGAGCTACAGTGAAAACCAGAAAACTATGGAATAGGAAGACGACTTTTAGACTCAATAAATGACTATACGTTCCAATGAGCATGGGGCACAGCAATTGTACAGTGTAAACAGACCCTTTTCACCCAATCAGTGATTTATAAAGTATATTGGTAAAACATTTGATTTGTAATAACATAAACTACAATTGAGAATTGCTATAAAGTCGTCTTCCTAATTATGAGTTTTCTGGTTATCACTGTAAACAGCAATAGGCAACGCTCTGTTAGCGAAGAAGAGTTTCAAAAATACACGTTAATTTCTAATTGTCTATTACCTAATAACTATAGGAACCGTGAGTTTAAAACACAAGAATTATTAAAAAGATTGCAGGAACACTTAAATTTTGTTTGTTTTTCTCCTAAAATAAGTCATTTTTGTAATCTAACATCAGAAACCTTTCATTATATGGTGCTAAGCGAGCTGGGCTGACGGGAGTTTTTAAAAAATTTACATAAATTGCGAAGACTTTGAAATTCCACGTTTGTAGTATCAGTATTTAAAATCACATACTATTTTTTATTTCCCGAATTTATGGAATACGTTTAAACTCTTGATCTAGTGAATGTTTAAAAACAATATTGTAAGCAGGTCAACGTTTTCCAGTAGGGATTAAAGAATTTGAGAGACAAGAATTGGGAAATATGTATTACGGTTCAACTTTGTAATTTTTTGAGATACTCTTAGTATCGATCTATTTTTTGTACAACTTTAAGTTACATATATTAATTTTGCTCTGATGTAGTGGAGCCTCGAGGGGGGGGGGATGCAGAAGTCCTCAATGAGTAATCACCGCCACCCAAACATGTTTTGCGGCATGCGCGCTCCACAATTGGTAATCTCCACCACCTCAATTGGTAATCACCGTAAAATCTTGTTTTCTGAGATTTTTATTTAATGCATTTTTAGCATAATTTTCGACATCTATCAGGGTTTTATGGAATCTGTATTGACTTAAAGTAAATATTCAATTTGTTTTCAGATTGGTTTGGTCAACAAAAACTGAGAAATAAGGCATAATTTATTTAAGCCGAATCTTAGATAAAATTCCCTGATTTAATGACTGCATTTCATGATCGGAGTTAAGATACTAAAAGGTTGGGCTGCCTGTTTACTAAAACTTATCTTACCGCGCTCCATTAAAAAATATTTTCAAAAAACTTTTACGGTTTTTAGATTTTTGTATTCGCCTCCTCGAGTTCAACATCTACAACAAAACTAATTACATGCATAGATGCCATAGAAAGAACAAAATATTTAGAAAAATCGGTCTCATCGCATCCACTAGTGAAAATGATGTATTAAGTTCACTAATTATTTCAAGCGCTTCATTGCTATTTGAGGAGCGCGCTTGTGCAAAAGTTCAAAAACGTAATTTTATTTCTAGCGCTTCATGTGGCAAATTTATAGATTTATTTTCGAAACTGAGGAGCAATAAGAAAGCTTTAAGAATATTTTACACCATAGGGCCATTAACAGAGGTCAATATGGTCTTATTTAAAATAAATAAACGATTTAATGTTACGCTTTTTTTGACTGATTACAATTGAGGTGGATATTACCAATTCAGGAGCGCGCCTGCCGCAAAACACATTTGGGTGGCGTTGATTACTCATTGAGGACTTCTGCACTCACCCCCTGGGGGAGCATACCTCTACTGCGAGGAACTGGGGAGACAATAGATAATAGAGGAAGGGAGTGGGAACACTATACATATTATGAGAGGGAATTGGGATAAAGTACATAATAGAGGGAGAGAGTTGGGAGAAAATTCATAATAAAGGAAGGTAGTTTGGAGACAAAACATAATAGAGGGGCGGAGTTGGAATATAATACATATTAGAGAGAACTGAGAAGGAATTGCGTAATAGAAGTGGAGTTAGGACACAACTTTATAATAGAGTTGGAGCTGGGAGACAGTACATGAAAAAAGAGAGGGAGTTGTAAGAAAATACATAATAAAGGGAGGGAGTTGGGACACAACCCTTAAGAGGGAGGGAATCGGGAGACAGTCATAATAAAGGAAAGAGTTAGGAGAAAATACACGATAAAGGGAGGCTGTTGGGAGACAATACATTCTAGAGGGAGGGAGATGGAACACAAAACATATTAGAGAGAGAAAATTGGTAGACAAAACATAATAGAGAGAGGGAGTTGGAACACAAAACATATTAGAGAGAGAAAATTGGAAGACAATACATAATAGAGGGAGGTAGATGGTACACAATACTTCATAGAGAGAGGGAGTTGGAAGACAATATATCATAGAGTGAGGGAGTTGGGACTCAATACATCATAAAGAAAAGAGAGTTGGGACACAATTCATAAAAGAAGGAGGGAGTTGGGAGACAATACATAATGGAGGGAGGAAGTTTGGAAAGAATACATAACAGAGAGAGTAAGTTGGGACACAATACAAAATTGGGTAAAGAAGAATGGATTTTGTTTTGCTTATTCGTGTTGAATTATGAAAAATATTTTTTGTTATCTTGTAAAGAATTTCAGATTTCCGCAGATGTTTAAATAAGCAGTTATAATTAGAAGATGCCATATGTGTAAAAACTATTTCCTTTACAGTTAGAACTTCAGGCATTTAATGTTCAATTTAGCAATTTTGTATCGTATTTTTCACGATATAAACTCAAAAAACGAAACTGAAGAAAAAGTATTTTTGGCCTGATTGTAAAATTTATTTTTGATTTTTCACAAAAAATGTCATTCTATTAAATTAATTATTACATTTTGCTATAGCATGTCAGTAAATACTTACAAATTAAAGATACCTCTCAAAAAATTCCAGTGACAGTTTTATTGCCTTCAGAACATCATTTTTTACATTAGCTTCAGACATATTCCCTCTGACTGTCCATCCATGCTGCATTTCAGGGAACTCCACCACTTCCACACCAGCATTTTCTTCAAGAATATTTACATGGTCCCCTCCTGTCTTATCCTCTACTGGATCGGAAGCAGCAGGCATGATCAACTGAGGACATTGGACAGCTCTCATCAGGTCTAAAGGATCCTCTCCAAGATTTCTGGAAATTTGTGTATGGCTGGGATGCCAGGAAATTCCAGCAGAAACCTTAGGGTCAGAACTCAATCTCATAACTAGATAGGTACCCCAACATGTTCCTAAAACCCCGAACTTCTTTGCTCCATTAGACTCTGCATATGGAAAAATAATTTCTTTCCATGTCTTCTCTAAATTTGTCCAATCAGACTGTTCCTTAATAAGTTCTGTAGCGTTAGGATACCAGGGGATTATAGAACTTCCATTTCCAAAATAATCTGGAATGATGACCATATATCCAGATTCAGAGAATAGATCAGCAGTTTGTTTTGTTCTTCCACTGTTAAGTCCAAATATATCATAGTTCCAGATGATGCACTTCTCCCCCTTTCCTACCCTGTACATGTCCAGGTCTCCTACTCTTTCTATTGAGCCCTTTGGTTCATATCCCTCTTGGTCTAGTTGACCCCAAGCATCAGAAGGACAACAGCTTGTCGTTTTGGCTCCTTCTTCGTAGCTCTCCTCAGAAATGCTTTCCTGATCAGGATTGAGAGCTTTCATATACTTTTCAATCAGATTATTGGTAAGCTTTCCACACTCTTGTGTGGGATAACCTTCTATTTCTTCAGATGATTTTTCCTCTTGTGCAAAGCAGAAGAATACTCCATCCTTGCTGTAGCGGCATCCATCATTACAAGCAGATTCAACGGCAGATTCAAGTTTGTAGGAGCCAGCCATAGGTCCAGCCAGTATGTTTTTGCATGGGGGGCACATCTTACCCATTGCCATTTTCAGCATGAGACTTTCTTCGTTAATGTTTTCCAGCATGTTTCCTGACTTGCATTTTTGCATGCTATCTTTAGATAAAGCAGCCTGGATGGAGAGGTATAGGATAATGAGAGGCTTCATGATGCTTCAAGATCAAGCTTGAAGATCCAACTGATATAATCTTAAAGAAAATGTTGTATGGTTAAACATTGCATTAAGGGATACAGGTGTTCTAAAGATTTATGTAAGTTTAGCATAACAAGGTTTACATAACCAGGAAATAATAAATTAATATTTCCTCAGTTAGAAATTATTGTTTTTAATAACAGCTTCGAGATTAAACATTAATATTACAGCTGTGACCAAAATGGTTTCATAATTAATTTTCAAAATTTAAATTGAAAAATAAAATAAAGTATTTTTAGTTATTTTTGTCACAATTAGAACCAAATATTGATTTATATTAAAATCTTGCTATTGTAAACAGTGTGAGCTCAATAGCTCTGAATAGGGATAGTTCCATTGATATAACCAATTCTATTCTCAGGTTTTAGGTCACCGGACTGTACCGACTATTACACCGTTTACCTGCAATCAATCTCAAGTAGTAACTGAGTTACTCACAAACTAATTAATCGTAATAACATTCACTAATCATCAGTCCGGTCAGGTGCGCAACTGGGGGGGGGCACGCCCCCTCCATAGCCGGATTAAGGGGGGCATGCCCTTCCCTTAAGAAGGCTTGCCCCCCCCTGTAGGGGTGGGCAAGAAGTCCACCCTGTTATGCAATTTAGGGATTCATGAATTCCTGGAAAAGGGAAATGGGGTTTATTTAGTATTTTTAGTTATTTTTACAATCATTCCTTTCACTTATTATGATATTGCAAAAATGTCCTGTATTCATGCGAATATCATGAAAAAATTCTGACTTAAATTTCGTATTCATGCGAAATTTCGTGCAAAAAAACTATTTATTTCGAATGAATACGCAATTTCGTGCAAAACTGGTTTCGTATTGATCCAAAAATGATGCGGAATTTCGTGCAAACAAATTTATTTCGTGCAAAACCACGCAAGAGAATTGACTGTTTCGTGGAAACCCTAAATCTGTTACATCTTCTCCACTTTTTTTGCCCCCCTCCCCCCTAGGAGCTCCTAGAGGGGGGGGGGCAAAATTTGAACTGTAAATTCAAAACATTTGGCTTCTTGGATATCAGACATAAGTGTAAGAAACTTTAAAGGTACACATACAGTCCAATTACCTTGCAAGTACTATACTTTATTTCTCCTTCAAACAAAACTAGCAGAAAAAAAAGCATTGTTTCTAAAAAAATCGACATTTTATTTTACTGTTATGTTAGTAATAATTAGTATTTAAACTAGAGATAGTAAAAGACATTTTTGAAAATAAAAACCTCAACTTAAACTTAAATTCTATGAGATGAAAAAAAGGACTAAGGTCCAGAAAATAATAATGACTTGAAAAGTTTCTGTTATGAAAAATGTAGGAGTACAATTGTGTGTTTATGTGTTTATGTGTTTTCTATGGTTGGCCAGACGGCTGAATTAAATGGGCTGAATTTTAGTGAGGAAACTCATGGATATCATTGGGGATGACATAAGCTAAATAAATTATAATTTTTTGTTTTAATTCGATTTTTAAAATTACATGGGCAACGCCAGGCACTTCAGCTAGTGTGTAATAAAAAGAAAGATTACAAAACGTCAGTGCAATGAATGAAGTATATTACATCTAAATTAAAAACAAACAAAAAATGATCTTTTACTACCTCCAAACTCAAGCCTTCGTGGCTTGGCATTTAAAAATAATTGTTTTTCTTCGCTATCCCTGATATAGCCCCCATCCGACTAGGATGAATCATTCTAGATAGATTTTTCATTCGGACTTCTGTCATGGTGGCTCTGGTCCACGTTTACAATTTTCTTGGTGCACTGAATGAACAGCAAACTAATTTTTTTATGTTCTTCACTCTTCAGTTTAAGATTTGAAAAGTGTGAAAGCTATGAGTTCTAGACCCCCTTTGGAGGTCTAGGGAGGGGCACTGCCCCCTTGCCCCCCCTGTATACGCCCTTGATAAAGGTATTTTACATAAGTCTGAAAGGCCAATATACCAGTAACCTATTCCAGTAAAGCCTTGATACAATTCTGCAAACTCTCCCAAAAATTCCGATTGTCTAAATTTCATGGTTTTAGGTACATTTTAAAACTTTTTTTTAAAGGGACTGTAAGCGTAATTTTAAGTGACACTCCATGCAAAGATGACAAAGCCCGATTCACAACGGCAGCTTTTAAACCTTTCTCTTATCAATATTGTGGAAGATATTGTCGTTTTTCTATGCTTTAAAGTGTTAGTTGTAATGATCAAATGAAATTACTCTTATATTTTCTTTAATTTACATGCATCTGTATAAACTTATTTCTATTAAAATCAGTACAATTTGATTTAAAAATATTTAGTGATCTATACTGTATCTAATAAAAGCATGGCATGAGCTGGATATTTTTTGTATTGGATATACTGCTAAGTTCAGGAATTCAGCTGCTGAGCTTGAAATCCATTTGAGAAACATCGATTAATTCTAAGCTGTTTAAAAACTTTTTTAAAATCTAGATATTTATTTATGAATCAAGGTTATTATAGTTTACAAGATTGTTAATATGGATTTAACACAAAACTTTCTTGCGATGTTGTCATGTACATACAATTATAAATCAATCAGGTCGAAATTTAATTTTTACAGATACATTTTTTTACGTTTTTTCATGTCTGGATTGCTGGTAAATTTATATTCAAGTATTGATAAAGCAGCAGTTCGAGAGAAAAAAACTACATTATATATTAAAGGATAGCATTCTTTTATGAAATATGACTGGGAGATACTACAAACACAGTGTGTGTTATCTCATATTGGAAAATGCTACAATTAACAGTGTGCATGCTTTCACATAAACATACACGGGAGCGAGTTTCCCTTTTTACATTAAAGAAAATTATTGTTAGCTTCATAACGAGGAACATTGACCGTTCCTCGTTAATATTGAGGCTACATAGTTATGGATAAAAGAAAAGATTATTATATTTGAGAAGTATTTTTCTATCAGGGAAGATTGATTTTAGCATCATTTTAAGCGAGATTATGTTAACTCGTTAATATTGAGGCTTCATAAGCAAGGTGAAAGAAGGAACATAATAATTAAGAAATATACTAAATAGGAACATTGATGGTTCATCGTTAGTATCTACATAGACTAGGATAGAGACAAGATTTTAGTCTCTTCGTGTTCCTCATATCTTTTAAACTAAAGAGCAATTATGTTAGCTCTTTAGTCTTAAGGCAACATATCGAGAGGGACATTATATTTAAGAAATGTACTAACTAGGAACATTGAGGTTCCTCGTTAACATTTCAGCTATGTAAACATGGATGGTCGAAAGAAAGAGAGAGAGACAAGACTTCAATCTCTTCGTTGTCCCCTTATCTTGTGACATCTTGGTTCCTCGGCGTTGCAATTTGTCGCCGTTATCTGCTGGTTCCGGAGGCGTTTCAGTTCTGTTCAAACTGAATAATTAAAAGAAACTATAAGTTTATTTAAAAACTAATTAACAACAATCTTGACCGTCTTTCTTTATTTTTAATACTTTTCGTAGATTTTACCCTACCAGATATCCTCCTACCAGCTCACATTCATGTTGAGCCTCAATCAAGGATATATTTATCTTGGAGTCAAGAAACTTGTAGCGTTGCTTGTAGCACCCTAGATTTATCCAACCACCTATGGAAAGGAATTATACAGTATAACTGTATAAAATGTATTGCTTGTCCTAACCTGGAAATTCCACTGCTTCCTCAGAATTGCAAAAAGATAACAAACTAAACATGGAAAAATACTAATCAAGAAACGCTGCGAGAAAAAAACATTTATCAGAATTCCTTTCCAAGCGTTTTTACAAAAGTGAACGAGATATATTGTTTTGCAACCAAGTCCAAGAAGACGATTCCGATTCTTCATCTATACATCATATAAAAACCATTAGAATGTAAGATTACGTTTAATTAACAAACAAATTATATAAAAAATCATTTTTAGTGCTCTTAATGAACGTTATAGTGTCGTCAAATCACCATGTTTTTATCAGAATTTCCCAATTTTTGAAAATTAAAAATATGATTAAAGTGCAGAAAAAATTCAACCTAAGAAGAAAGATACAAAACCACCCAGTCATCTTGAAGGTTTAGAATAAACTGAGTACTGAAAATAAACTGAATAATTCTCACGTCAAAAAACCTTTTAATTAATATAAGAAAATATTTTTTCACCGGCAATTTGTTTAAACTTTTCCTAAATATAGAATTTTAAAACCAGGCTTTAAAGAGAGTGACCGGCTATGTAAGGTAATTGAACTGAGTATGCAGTGTTGTCGAAAACTTCTTTAGGATTCATTTGAGACATATTTCACTTTTTAAAGATCTGTAAATCCTGAGTTTGAGTGCAAATTCGACGTTCAAAACTCCTGATTTGGGGGTGGATACGCTTTCAGAATTAGTTTTTTTAAATTATTAAATAACGACAACGAAAAATAAAGTAAAAATTATACAGTAATCTAATTAGATGGCTAGGAACATATTTCACAAAAGAAATTTGTCAATAAATCCATGCTAAAATCGATTATTTCGTTTTCATTATTATATTGAATTTCTAATTTTCTTTGAATTTATTTGCAGATTTCTTCAAATTCTTTAAATGTCGTCTTTTCAATAATAATTATAGAAAATCTGCGAACATCTTTGTGAATAACGAGAAACTAGAATAATGAGATAATAGAAACTAATAATTGAACAAGATTACTTATTTTCGATGATAAGATTAATTTTTATTTTCTCAAAATGTTCCTAAACATGACGTCTGTAGTTTATTGTAGAATATTTTTACATTTTATGTCGTCGTTAATTAATAATTTAAAAAAACTAATTTTGAAAGCATATCCACCCCCAAATCATAAGTTTTGAACGTCGATTTTGCGCTCAAACTCAGGATTTACAGACTTTTTAAAAGTGAAATATGTCTCAAATGAATCCTAAAGAAGTTTTCCACAACACTGCGTCCTCAGTTCAACTACCTTACATAGCCGGTCACTCCCTTTAAACATTCCCGTGATTTATTCGAATTATCAAATAAAAATTTTAAGAAAATTGGCCAAGGAACTTATGACATCATGGACATACATAACACACAAACAAAGACTACAAAATTAAATATATAGAAAACAAAATTCTATTTACTCAAATTTTTTAACAGATTGAAAATAATCTAAAAATCGACGGATATATATAAAATATTTATATTTTATTATCTCAATATTGTCAACTGGTACTGGATGGGCCGGTTTTGTCCATCTGAACAATTTTAAGAAAAAAAGTTTTCTGTAAAATTAAATTGATATGGGTATAAAAAGATGCAACAGAAGCCGTTGAATACTGTACATTTGTTTTCGTTTTTTATATCTTGAAAATTGTTTGATGTAGGGCCAATAAACGGATACAACTATCCAACTATCCAACTATCCAACTATTCAACTATCCAGCTATCCAACTATCCAACTATCCAACTATCCAACTATCCAACTATCCAACTATCTAACTTTCCAACTATCCAACTATCCAACTATCCAACTATCCAACTATCCAACTATCTAACTATCCAACTATCCAACTATCCAACTATCCAACTATAACGTTTCTGAATTCAGTGTTACAACACGAATCTCACCCAATTCGTTGTATTTTGAAAAAAAAAATGTTGCTTTCGTTAGTGAAATTTGTCACTTAAAACTGGTTTCCGCATGGCAATTTTGATTTGCAGAAAAATCGTCTTTTCTAAATGTTGCTTGTTTATAAAGTCATTCCGAGTGACAAAAGTGCAATGGTAAAAATCGGCCCCCGTAATATATAAACACTTTTTGGACGAATTTTTCAAGCGGGAATCTGAAAAATTTACTAAAAGTCTTAATGATAACACCATATATTCATTCAGACGGTAAAAAGACCGAAAAGTACAAACATCAAACGAGACAAACCTCGTAAAGACGAATAAAAATTACGCAAATCCCAATAAATGACGTCTTTGCAACAAAACAGAATATTGATTCAACTATTAAAGAGGATCTGAAGCCATAAATATTCTTGAATAAACAATAAATTCAGATATTTCAAAAAAAAAACTCAATAAATATCTTGAAACTGCTTGAAAATAAATCTCCTGGATGTGGTGAAATAGTGAAATATAGAAATCTTGAAATTGATATATTAATGAGAAGGTGGCCCAGATAGAATGAGACTTTAATGACGACCTAAAACTCTTTAAAGGGACTGTAAAGGAAAAATTAAAGGGGGTATAGGCTGAAAGCTAATCACTTTAGCTCTTGTTCGCGACCCATGAAAGTTTTATTTTATGTTCCTGTCTCGAGAAATTGATATAAAACTGTGGTTAAATTATACGAAAATTAATATATATACAATTTTGTATAAAAGTAGTAGGTTTACACAGATCATATTCAGCAAATAAGCAACCAATCTGAAAACGATGATATCCCAGAGAAAGCTAATTGTAAATTAGGTTTACTTTTATATTTGTTATTTCTATTTTCAATAGATTTCATTCATAATATTATTTTTACGTCCGTATTACTTAACCATAAATTCCACCAATGGCAGTGCAGTAAAGTGGTCACGTGATACAGGCGGAGACACGTGACCAGTATACTGCTCTGCCATTGGTGATAGTTCTGGTCACGTGATTTAAGTTTCAGATTTTCAAAATTTTACATATATGAATTTTCGTATAATTTTCTCAATAAATATCTTGAAACTGCTTGAAAATAAATCTCCAGGATGTGGTGAAATAGTGAAATATAGAAATCTTGAAATTGCCAGATATATTAATGAGAAGGTGGCCCAGATATATTAATGAGAAGGTGGCCCAGATATATTAATGAGAAGGTGGCCCGGATATATTAATGAGAAGGTGGCCCAGATATATTAATGAGAAGGTGGCCCAGATATATTAATGAGAAGGTGGCCCAGATAGAATAAGACTTTAATGACTACATAAAACTCTTTAAATATAGAGTTATGAAAGTTTGTTGTAGTGTTTTTTCTTAAAAATAGTCTTTTAATGGTATTTAAAAATTATATAAAAATTGTAAGTAAGTAAGTATTGTAACCATGAATTAGGAAAGCACGTCTGATTAAATTCCGTACAGTCGTCTCTCAAGTCTCATCCGTAAGGTAATGAGTAACCCTGTATGAAAACAAAAGTAAACTGTGCACAGTCATTTTGTACCTTTATTAATCAATCATTTTTCTGTTTAAATCTACAGAGTTACTCACAAAGAATTAGACAGAAAAGACGATCTGTAACTCTTAAAATATGACGATTTTGAATAAAATATTCTGCCTTAGGGATGCCTTAAAATGGTTTATTAAGTAAAAGAAAGTTTACAAAATGGAATCAAGAATATACAGAAACAGTCGTCTTTTAAGAATCATTCTTTGTGGGTATACTGCTATACTACGTATAGCTTTTTGGCGCGAGATAAATATTATTTTTTTATTGTTTTAACTTTTGAAAAACAAAAGATATACATTTGTGAAATAGATACTTTATTCAAATGTAGAATGTACGTAGAATGTAGATCAATAGATGAACCTTCAATCCCTTAGAAGGTAACATAAAATAAATCAGAGAGGAGGTTAATTTATATGTTTACTTTTTATCAAGCTTTGGTGTCAAAACTATTATCTTCTATCCAAGATCATTCTTTGAAGCTCCTGAAGTGAGTTTTACAGCTATCAAAACAGCATTGTAGACTTTGAAAAACTGTGTTAAATCTTGTGCTGATGAGTCTTTATGTTGAAGTTCAGTAGAAAGTAAATTGTGCCGTTAAGTTTTGTTTAAAACTGAACAGATCTTTCCAGAGCTGAAAACTTTAGAATGGTGGATATCAGGATTAAGGCTTAAACCACTCTTTTTCTTAATATCCAGTTTAAATATTGCTTGTTCTCCACATGAATTTAAACTCCAGATAAAGGACTCGATCTGATATCTGGATATTTCATTCTAAAGTTTTCAGCTCAGGACTCTTTCTAGAAGTTTTTTTTTGCTATTCCTGAACTAGACTTCGTGTGATTTTTAAAAATAATTATTTTTGCCGATCATTAATGTAGAACAGCTTTTCACTGTCAGATAAGTTAGATCTTTCCAATAAGTTTCATTATTAGATAAAATAAAAGTTTCATCTTTTAAAGTTGTCATTAAGTCTAATCGTCCTTGAGCTCTTTGAGTCACCCTTTACGAAATCTATTTCCAGTTTCTCTCGTCAATTTCTATTTTATTTTCTCTCGTTGGTAAAGTTATATTTAGCATCCTGGTATCTGGTATCAAGCCTCATTGCCCAACATATCTATCTGTCTATTCTAACACTATCTTCACAAACCATAAATCAGTTTGATAGGCTCAGAAATATAGATACATACAAGGAATATAATAGAAACTCTCATCAAATAAATCGTCCTACAGTTTCTGGTAGGAATGTAAACACACGCAGTACTGTCCAGGCTAAGCTTTTTTTTTTACATTTCTTCCGGAAACTGCAGTACATATTATTTCATGGAAGTTCTTTTATTTTTATATTCCATGGATTAATTCATGCAAGGAATATAGAAGTATCTCTCATACCTTTGTTTACAATTTAAGTGTACTGCAGTTTCTGGAATGTAAACAAAAGAAGTGCTTTGTTTCTGTTCTTCCCATAACAAAAATTTTATTTGTAAACAAACTATGGGACTTTTTATGATATTCCTTGAATAAATGCAAAGAGATATAGCATGCCGGCCATAGACCATGAAAAGAGATATAGCATGCCAGCCATAGACCATGAAAAGAGATATAGCATGCCGGCCATAGACCATGCAAAGAGATATAGCATGCCGGCCATAGACCATGCAAAGAGATATAGCATGCCGGCCATAGACCATGAGAAGAGATATAGCATGCCGGCCATAGACCATGAAAAGAGATATAGCATGCCGGCCATAGACCATGAAAAGTCATAATCTTAAAACTAAAGAAAATCATTTTTTAAATCTATAAAAAGAAACTAAGTACTACTCCCCTCAAACACTAAATTTCTTTTTTCTTCTTTTGCAACCTAATTTTGTAGATCTTAGATATTTCAATTACTCATGAATTCTGATATAAAAGGTTTGCATCGTTTGGTTGAAAAAATAAAGCAATTTTTTTTCTTCTTTAACTTTTTTAAAATGTATTTTATTTAAAAACCCGTCCATCAAACCGTTGAC